CAACAACAAATAAGCTGTATATATATATATAGATGTGTTGACTAATATCTAGAACATTTGAGTTATAGTAAGAATTATTATTATTAAGATCAATGAAATAACCTGAAAAAAAAACGACAACACTTACTAGTGATTGTCTTATATCTCAATTCATATTTCATATGTTTATATATTAAGTATGAACTGATATTATCTATATATCTCTTTAAGTGTTCATGATTTCATTAGTGTGAATATACACTCATTGTATTAGAGAATTCAAACTGAGAATATACTCAATAAATATTATAGTTTTATAATACCCATACTGAATTCTATTCGTTTATTTGATTAGAAATTATTATATAATCGTAAATGTAGGAATAAACTATGAAAATGGAGTATTTTACATTAGATAAGTAGTGTTACTTTGGTGTTATATTTCAACATAAATAATCTTTAGAGTAGATATTATTTATACATATAACTATTAAGTAATCTATTACGTTCAGTACAAATTCATGTACCATATAAATACATGAGGCTCGTTAAATTCGGTAACTCTTTAATTTGTGTTTTGAAATATTTTTAAAGAACCGTAAAATAATAATTGATACTTAGCATTTTCGCTCTTTAGTTTGTTAATTGTTGGGTGATTAACAGTTTTTGATGAAATTCGCCTTCGAGTCTTTTAAAATCTACCGATAATGAAATTGCTCCAGATAAAAGGTTTTTATTTTTATTTGAGCTACTGTTTATTGTTTTAGTAGATACAAATGATTATGCAAAAAATGCAGGTGTTTTAAACAACTTTCGAAGACATTATTATGTAAGATCAACTTGTAAGTTAAAGTATTCTTCTGACCAAATCTAATTGATTAGTGAAAAATATTTTTTACTATCTAATACGTAAACTAACTCCGCCTTTAGCTCTTCTAGAGCTACTGTCGGTCCCGATCCCGGGTAAAGGAGGAGGGTTTGGCATGGGGTTAGCGACCCCATTCCGAAGAAAACAAACTCACTAGAGTTTTTCACTTTCCCGAGTGCTCATATTAGTAGGCTCGAGTAAGTTTCAAACAGAAAGACGGAGAACACCTCTACTAAGGAGAGAAACTGTTCAAGATGTCTAGTTGCTAAAACTGAGTAAATCAATTAAAATTTATTGATCAGAACTGTCAGTACTTTTTGAATAAGCTCATTATTGAATGCAAGAAAATCGGGTCATCTCACAATAAAAGAAAACTGCAGAGAAAAGTAGTGAATGAATTCCCAGTACATAATTCGTTTGAAACCCAACCATTGAAAAATGTAAAATTGTTATCAAGTTGCTGAAAGATAAATAGACATGTGTAATGTATACTACTAGATTACAGAATAACAGTTTTGTCTTCATTTGTATTCCTTTAGAAGTGCATAACCATTATTGTATTCTAAAATAAGTTCAAAAGATCAAAGTTCTCGAAGTGACCAAAAATTTGTTGTATCCACCTGTGTAAAGCTAACTTCTCACAACAAATATCCATGTATAATTATCATAAAACATTAACAATATCTATCTAGCTTTACCAGTCAGTAAATATATGAATTCCTTTAACAATTTTCTTGTTAAATCAATAGGTGTTCTCTGAACGAAATTACACAAAACGCTACTGCATATTACATTTTTTCTGATAAGACCTACTTGTAACATATTGTCATTATTCTAAGAGATTTATAATTAATGAATAGTTTTGGACTATTATTTTAAAGATTATTTGTTTCTTCTGTTTCACAATATGAACCTTGTCGTTATGTAGAACTATTGATAATCGTTAGAAAAGTAAGTCCAAAATCTATTCAAAAGTAAAAATGTTTTTAATAGTTAAAAAAGTACGTATTGTTATATGTTTAACCTACAAAATTGATAAGTCAATGAATTTATAATATCAGGTATTGATTTATTCAATAATGAATTCACTAATCTACAGAGAAATAGTAATCACGGTTATTCTGATTTAAATATATCAGTAAACTTGTATGAATTGAGTACATTATTTTAGAAATGAACAGTGAGAAACATCAAAGTTATCTTCCGTAATTTATCATTGAATTTAATCACTTCGGGACGATAGTTTCCTTTATTTACGTCTTGATGATAAAGACATTTAGTTCTAAATTATTAGGCATCGAGTTCGAATCATGATTCACCTACATCTGTTTGGGTAACTGGTAATGGCCTGACCTTTATACAAAGTGTCGGTTAAATCCAAGTAAATTAATATTTGCTTCGTAAATAAGTTATTGTCATCTATGGTATTTACAACTAAAATCACTTATTGGTCACTGAAGAATTGCTTTTGTAACACTGTATAATTCTGTCATCACAGAATTTCATTAAATAAATACTCAAAACACCCATTAAACTAAGTGAATTCCAGGATAGAATTAAGGTTATTAGTAGCGTTGCCATAATGTCGTAGACAAAATATTTATAACTTTTATGAGCAGCCTTTCTAAGCACCATCGTGAAACTACATGAAAGTATCATTCTCATGGTCCGTTTGTCACCAACTTCAGTAACAATTCTGTGTACTTTGAAGTTGAATATTTCCAAATCACACAATGAAACAAATTTCCCTAATGGATTACAACAGGTGCAACAATGCAAATACATGAATCTGATAACCTACACATCAGATTTTTTGAAAGAATAAAGGAATCTTGAAGTAAAAATAAACCATGTTGATTTAAAATTTCTAGCAAGAAGAAAGTTTCCTATGTGTTTCAATTTCAAAAGCTGAAGTTATATTCATGAAAATCATCTGTACAGGTAGTTTTTACGAATTCGCATCAAAAATATTGTCTGTTTCATATTTAGAATACATCACCTATTATTATATGCATAAAATAGAGATTGTTTTTATTGATTCGTCTGTTTAGTGCTCCGTAGTTATGATTATATTTCAAAAATATTTATGTCAGAGTTTGGCAGATTCATTGTGTGTTCCATGAAAACATAAACACAGTAATTATTGGTTTAAGTCACTAACATAGTTTCTACCTAGCTTTTCTTTCTTGAGTAATATTTGGATAGAATGACTGAGACATCTGGGCTACCTGTTCCTGTCATCTAAATATTTCAACAAGTTATCTATTTTTGTTTGTTTTAATATATCATTATGTATATTAATCGCATAACCCATCCTAGTGCAATTCTGAAAAGTTTACAACCTTTCGTTGTCAAAGTTATAAAAAGCTCAATAAGAGATAATGTGGTCACTGGCAATATGCAGCGAAAAGAATATACATTATTCAGATGTTTATTTACTTGACTGCTAACATCTAACTGGCGATCACTCAATATTTATCGTTAGGATCGACCAAGAAGTAAGAAACGGAAACTTGTTGAAATACTTTGTGCTGAGAATTCTATATTGTACCGAAAATATAATATTGAATAAAGCTTATAATAATAATAATAATAATAACCATGACAATACTGTATGCTATATGTGTAGCCTAGCAAAATGTCTGTCAACTTTGTGAATGTTCAAAATATTTTTTTTCAGGGCAGTGGTGTATAAGCTCAACCACTTGCCCAGACAATAAAAGTTCCTGTATATGAACAATACAACTCTTAGGGAAAAAACTACCATGAATGTACTTCGAACAGTTGTCCTGTTTTTTTTTAATGAAGACTGTTTTTAGAATATGTTCAAGACCTATTTGTTTATGCTTATGAACATTTAACATAACTCATCCATCTGCTAGATTGTTTGTTTTAAATTGTATATGAAGTACTTAATTATATGTTTCATTCTCATTTCTTAAAAGTGCCGGTTGCGTAAACTTCAACAACTAAAGCGCTTTTCTTTCATCTTTGTTATTATTAGTAAACAGTGTTACCCCTTTTATTTAACATGTTCATATTCGGCATACTGTCAGCTTGAAAATGGAAAAGTCTTATTAAGCAGATTACATTGTATTTAAATAACATTTCTAAACGACAAACTGGTACTGTTTAGAATAGGATAATGATTTCATTCAATTTGCTGGATAACTAATAAAGACAAAGCAGCATTAGGTTGGTTTACTTTTCTGGTTTGAAACTCCTCGACTGTGGATACCTTCGATTCCACGGGGTATCAAAATAAATACTCCAAGGTTTTGAAGTGATATCATATCACTCAATAATCAAGTTGGAATTCAGAGGTCAACCCTTCATTTTCAGTAGATTTACAACTTACCATTGTTTACTTTTAACAGTCATAGGTAGGTATGTTATTCTATCCTTAGGTACCTCCACAAATCACTGCTTATTATTAGAAAATCAGGATTATTATTGAAAAATGCTGTTTGTTTTTAGAAATCTGTACGGGACCAAAATAATTATAATCGCTAACTGACAAAACGCTTTAGTTATATTGTAATCATAAGATTGTGAACTAATGCCTGATCATTAAATCAAATCAGTCCTCCATTAATGTGATACGCTATATTTCTTTTTCTAAAAAACTGAAAACCACTTTTCTATATCTATAATTTGATAAGAAATTTATAATAATGACCGAATGTATATTTATTTAATTCCTTCTGTATTTTGATTACGTTCAAACAGTAAGTAGTGCTATTAGAATAAAGTGTATTACGTTGTGCACAAGAATTATACTATTTATGTATACAATTGACCTGTCAACATGAATTCTGCATACTTGTGTACAGCTAATCTATTCTATGCTAGTCTACTGATTAGGCATATTTCAATATGAACAATTCTTTTTAATGTCCCCTCTTGGTGTTCAGTATTTCATCAGAATCATTTTCATTTTAATAGAAGACAACAATTTCGTGATAATTTATGATAAAAAGGCGAAAAAACAACCTATAATGACTGTACACATAATTAATTTTTAGAAAACTATATTAATTTGATTAGCACTTGATAGAAGCGTTAATTGTATATTAACAATATTAACAATAAAAATGATTATTATCTGGACAGTAAACTTAATTTATTATCACTCAAAGAATTGTGAAGTGAATGGGAAAAAAATTAATTAAAAGATTCCAAAAAGGAGAAAATAAAACAAAATGAATGTTAGATGATAGTAAATTATTGAACAGGTTGACGATTGGAGACAATATTTTACAATGATAAATAATATTTGAAGGTAGTTCTATTTACTAATTTTGCTGGTAGTTATGAGGAGGAGCTAGAAAGTACTTCAAAAGTCAGTTGATTTTTGTTTGTTTTTGAGTTCTTTGAGACAAATGGTCTAATTGATGAGTTTTCATTTTCATTCCGCAAAATATTATCAGTGCTTGATTTATGTAGAAGTGAACTTCTTAATTATTCCACGAGACTTATATAAGTTGATTTCGGCAGTCTTATTTGTGGTTGATTGTCCTCATACGTTTCCCCTACATTTCTCTTCTAATTGACTGTCTTGTTCTGTTGACTTCTGATCACGTTGTTGATTGACCTTTTTCATATAGGTTAATAAATCAGATTTAATTGGATGATGGTCATTTTTATAGTTTTCGATACAAACGTGGATTGTTCAAATTAATCACATTTCGATCAATACATTGAAAGAGCAAAATTTATGAGGAAGAACAATTAAAAACGGAACATGAAAAATACGTTAAGTATCATTACAAGGATTTGACTGGATAACTTAAAATAGTTAGACTGGATAGACTGTTAATAAAAAAAATAATTACATATTTGTAATTTCATAATGAGTGAGAAGTGAAACATCAAATTTAGAATCTTCAATACAAACGTCAAGACATTTCTACTGTACGGAGATGAAACTTGAAGAACTACTAGGACCGTCATCGAAAATGTACAACTATTTATAAACAACTGTATTCGCAAGATGCTCAATGTCCGTTGACTGGATACTATCAGCTACAACCTACTGTGGGAGAGAACAAACCAGCTTCCAACTGAGGAGGAAATTAGGAGAAGACGTTGAAGATGGTAGAAAATACATTACTGAGATTATCAGACTGTATCACAAGGCGAACGCTGGACTTGAAATCCTGAAGGGTAAAAGAAAGGGATAAAACCAAAGACCACATTGTATCGTGAATCGGAAGCCGACATGAAAAGAATGAATAGCAACTGGAAAGGATTGACCAGAACAAAGTTCAATAGAGAATCCTGGTGAGCGGCCTATGTTCCTCTGTGAGGGGTGACAGACGTAAGTAATAAGGTAAGAAAAATAAAATTTCACTTCAAAGGAAACAAATAATGTAAAAGAATGAAAAGTAAAGAAATGTTATTAAACTCATTATTTATGAAATGTATGTAACAACCTAATAGTAACTGATCTTCGATTATCTCAATTCCGCTATTCAGAGATTTACAGATGAGTTTATGATGAAAAACGTCTTCCAACTATATCCCTAAAAATTAATCGATATTCATGAATCACATAAATAAAATGTTGAAGATAACGAAAAAATAATAAACCATTTCTTAACAATAAACTGATATTCTAAATCCATCAATTTTGTCAAAAACAAATAACGATAACTATAGTAACACATATAACCTCAAAGCTTATCCAATTTTCTTTCAAAATTTAGAAATAATGAAAATTCAATATACATTAGAAATCCCAAAAAATCAAAGATCAGAAGGGTTTTTTGGTTCTTATTTCTTAGAAAACTATTAGTTATGTTGAAAGTAGATGTTTCGTGTGTGTGTGTGTGTATAGGTAATGTAAGTGTTACTTAACATTAAAATAAACATAATTTTAATATTGATGAAATATAATTATTTATAAGTTAAGTTGATTTATAAATGATACTTTTTATTTTTAGTTATTAATTGATGATTAGTACCCATAGGAGAAGGATTCCCTAAACTTATTATAACTCAATGAGACTATCATTAAAATTCTAATGGATACATTACAAAAAATGAGATAATCCCCTAACTGATTACAGAGATTTAGATAAACCTATATATTGAACATGCATGTACTCATAAAACTGTTTCAAGTTAATCCATTTTTGAACAGATTTCTTTTTAAAGTAAAGAACAGTAAGGTATGTTGATTAAGCGGGAGGTCATCAATTTATTTGATATTGGAATCAGTGATATCAATGAACTAATAATGACAAAATTTTCTTATTCGTCAAATTACTAATAGGAATCGTAAGAGATAATTGTCATTACACTTATGCAAATATAAACAGAAGATTACAAAATAAAACAAAATGTACATTTAAAGTTTTCCTACTATCTTCTTATCAAATATCAATGTAATTTAATCGACAGTGATACTATGATACAAGTCAACAACTATAGTGATATAAATCATGTAAACAGATATATTAATTACAGAGGAATAAAATGCAATGTTATTCAGTAAGTAGATATGAATGGATGGACAGATAGTTGAGCTTTAATTGTTTTATGACACCTGTAGTTACAAACCGATTATTCACTTAGATCTAGAACGCCGGATATTTAGGAATCCGGCAAATAAGTTTGAGCTTTCTGTAAACACATGAAAATTGGTTTGTTTTGACATTCGTTGAAATATGGATCTCAAGTAGACATGATTTCCAAACATTATAGAACTTCAATGAAATTTTGAATCTAGAAAAAATGGACGGTTTTTTTCACCATTTTTATATTCATGCCATTAATGAAATGTAAGAATTTACCCATAAATTAGTAAGTGGTATTTAAAATATGTGGATCTTATTGAAAACATATAGTTATGTAAATTTTCATCATCAAATTCTAACCATTAGTTCGTTCTTTTACACTGATCAAACTGTGGATCTATTATAGTAGGGAAAAAAACAATACAAGGAGATGAGACTAAAACGATATTTATACGATTGTATGAACAACAGAGTAATACAACCATATCATTGTCTTCATTTTGGAACACAAGCTGCAATATAACGATCGAGAGCTAAGCAACTAATACGTTTTCTTTAAAATGCAAGCATTAACAACAGAACCTTCGAAAATGCTACTAGTTACTTTTTTATCACTTATAGTTTACAGGTATCCTAAACAAGTTTTTATCAATTAAAATATCCTCTGAGTAATCAAAATTACCTTTCAGAAAACAGGTTCATACAAGTTCGATTGCCGCACGTTAACTTTCAAAGAAAATAGACTAGACTCAAAAAAACTCATAAGATAGATGTTTTATTTATTAACAACTGACGTCATTTTATCAAAACATATAGGGGTAGACTTAGCAATCTCAATGTCTAGTTGTAGAAGTCCATGTTAACCTCGTAGCTAAACAGCTTCTACTTCGCAAACATGTTTCGGTATTTCTACCAAGCAAATGCTGTGTCCTATGAACAAGAAGAATCGAGAAATCAACTACTTGTCTGAGAATGACGTATCAGACCCCATCGGACAACACCGCCAATAGTAATAACATCCACCAGTTAATACTGAACATGGAATTTCTTCGAAACACTATATTGCACCAAAAGGGAATAAACCATCAAGTGTATTTTTCGTTACAAAGATGTCGCACTTATTATTTGATTGTCGCACCTTCCGAGTTATTTAAGGTTCAAAATTTGTACTGTAGTGGCAGTTCTAGAAGTCAGAGAGAAAGTTCGTATTGCAAATATTCGATGCTCAGCTTTAATTAGTGTAAAAGAGACATATTTCCCAGTAATAAGAGGTAGTATGCTCACGATTATTAATAATCGATAGACTGAATAAACAATAAAGCTTTGAAGAAAAATAACAGAAACGAAAATGATATTTAGAAAGATAGGAGAAATAAAAGGAATAAGCGTTATGAAATGTTGATATAGGAAATGAGTATAGAAAGAAATCAAACTGAAACGATTGTAAATAAAGAACAGTAATAAGAAAGTTGTTCACAGTAAAAAAATTTTACGGACATACAAGTTAGGTTTGATATATGCACTACTAAACTGTGTATTCATTTGTAAATACAAAACGGAATAGATAACTAATAAAAGCAAACATAAATAACAAGGAGAAACGAAAAGAGAATGCAGCTGAACTTGTTAACCTGACCAATCTTTTGGTTCACGATATGGTCCCCAACCATGAAAACACTGTCGAAATAAATGTGGTTCAGCATTTTTCACTGTTAGCTTAAGTTGTCTTGGTCGGTCCGGTTGCATCTGACGTAAATGACTTTGATAAAGTTTAGCAGCTTGTAAAGATAATTTCTGTTCAACGTCTGATGTACGTTTACTCCACCAAAGGTATATCTAATGAATGTCATTAACACATACAGGAAAGGAAGAAAATAAGAGGAAGTCAAAATAAGTGAGAATAAATTTAGCAAATCGAAAATTTTATATCAACTAGATCAGCGGTTATTAGAAGTCTCAAGTCAGAACCTTGATCCACCAACTTTGTTTTATGGAACCGGGTAGTATCGTAAGTCCTGACAATTAGAGTGTGGCTGATATCCAAGAAGCTGACGAATCAGTTAACTTTCTTTTTCCTACTTTTTATAGCTCGAAGTGAGTAACATGTGTTCGAGGAAACAATATTTGAAAACTATCAATTCTATAAATCTTGTCTATATGCGATAAGTCTTGCGAATTGAACGCTATATTCGTCTCCTAGGTTATTTTGGAACCCCCAAGCTAGAACTATCAGAGACCTGAAGACAAGAGAGAAGACGCGAAGTATGAGAGAAAATACTTTACTCCAAGGTTCCTTTTTGTACAGAAAACATGGGTATTTATGGATGTTAACATTTGTTAAATTAACATCATAATTTAGCCTATCCGCTAAAAGACATTATGCTACTGACCAATAGTAGCACGCCACGTTGACATTCTAGAAAGCTCCACCATGCTCTGATTCGCTAGGACTCTTCGGTTCCTCTAGGGCCTCTGGAGGCTCCGTTGCAGTTCTCGGAAAGCCGACTCAACAATATGCTTATTTATTGACTCAGTGTAATTATCGGTAATAAAAGCACATGACAAATTATTATTTATTGAATAACAAAAATACTAAATAAAGTTTCCTTTATAGAAAACTCACTGTATATCGAACTGATATTTTATTATTCGCCTAAATTTAACGAATCGTAAACATCTTAAGCTTATTAACTCCAAATTAAATTAACATTTGATAACAAAGAGGGTGAAGGAAGTGAAGAAAAGTGACTGGAAATTAAAAGCTTTGACAGATAACATGATATTTAAATTATTAATGTCGATTATTTCAAGCTTTGCACCATCTTCCTACCGTGTTATTTATGAACATTATCTCATATTTAGAAAAAAGTCAAAAAATTATTTTAATAGTTCAATTGATGAGTCGATGTAAGCTAGACTACCAATGAAAACCTGGGAGGACTAGGCGGCTGTTTCGTCCTAGTACGGGACACCTCAGCAACTATTAAAATCACTACAATCTCTACAAAACCCCATTATAACAAATTATTTCACTGACAACTAACAACTTACAATAAATTACAAATATATATATGCCTAAATCCCTAAAAGACATTCTCTGAAATGGTTTATATATAAATTTCCTAACTAGTGGAATGGGAGAATGAAAACAACCACCAATGTTTAATAAAACTCGCTGTCTTGTGGATGGTTAGTTTAAGCCGGATACAATGCGACATATTTTCAACAGATTTATAGAGAAAAGAAGAACAATGTTAAAGATAGCCACATAACAATGATATATTTTCAAAAATAAAATATATACTTGTCAGTCGACTACTAATAATGAGATACAAACTATAAATGCCAAACCAACCTGAGATCCCGTATCCAACAGCATGACATCGTCTGGAGCAAGATCATCTTGACAAAAATCTGCACACTTTTCTGATGCACAAAAATAACCTTGTTCATTAGACAAACGAAAGAGTCGGCCGTAAGTAAGGAAGTCTGCTGATGTATCATACTTCTTCTGGCCACCTAACACTTGCCAAAATAAAGGAGGTTCAGAACCTTCAGGTACAGTATGGAAATCAGTCGGAATCTAGAAACCAAATAATAAAAAGAATCAATATAGAATGAGTTCTGGGTATGATTGATATCTTGTCAATGAATATGTTTCAAATAAACTAGCGAAAAAAATGTTAGTCTTCAATACGGATTGATTTCAGTTGAACAACTATTGAGAACTAAGGGGGGCTAACCAACTAATTCATTATAGTTTAAAACTCCTCAGTAGAGCAGAAGCATGACCTTAACAAGGATCGAGTCAAGGATACTTTAGTCTGACGGTAAGCGTGATGTCTCATATTTCGAACCTTCATCAATTCAATATAATGCGATAACAACTATCTGATGTAGTCGACTGCATCTATCTCACTGTCAACACGTTTTACTGGTCTACGCTGAAAATAGTATACTATTTCAGGAAGATTACCACGCAGTAAAAAACACTTAGTACTGCCATGGTATAAGCACTAGCTATTAATCAGTTTTATTTTTTAAAAACATTAATTGACTGGCTCCTCAACTTCATATGGATCATCGGGATAATATTGATCAAACGAGAGAATTTAACACAACTATCAAATATTCAGTTCTGCAATCCAAAGCACACTATTCGTGTGAAAGACAACGTTAATGGGTGGTAGTCTAAATCAAAGTCAGTGACGAAAACATAAGTCAAAATAGTTGGATTTTTAATTTTTCAATCACTAAAGCTATCACTCATGACCAGCTACAATAATCTATTGGATTATATAATTCCATAACATCTCAGAACATTATGTACGTTGGTTCAGTAAGAGGTGGTGATTCACTTTATTCCTTGAAAAATTCCCATTATATTAAAACACAATTATATGAACGAACAATATTCTTTCCAAAAATTTCTCAACAGGTTCTACAATTATAAATCCAAATTAATAATCCATAAAATTGTCTAGATTTAAGGCACAGAGACCGGTCAAGGACAAAGAAGGCAGGCCAATCACTGAAATTCAACAACAGCGAAACAGATGGGTAGAATACTTCGAGGAACTCCTGAATGGGCCGGCTCCAATTAATCCACCAGACATCGAAGCAGCACATACAGATCTTCCTATAGATGTCAACCCACCAACGACGGAAGAAATTAGAGTGGCCGTCAGACAAATCAAGAACGGGAAAGCAGCAGGACCCGACAACATACCAGCTGAAGCACTGAAATCAGACATCGAAGTAACTACAAGCATGCTTCACCTTCTATTCAAAAAGATTTGGGAAGAGGAGCAAGTGCCGATGAACTGAAAAAAAGGACACCTCATTAAGATTCCAAAAAAACGAGATCTGAGCAAATGTGTAAACAACAGAGGCATCACACTACTGTCAATACCAGGGAAGGTCTTCAACAGAGTGTTGCTGAACCGGATGAAAGATGCAGTAGACGCCCAACTTCGAGATCAACAAGCTGGATTCCGTAAGGATCGGTCGTGCACAGACCAAATTGCAACACTACGAATTATCGTCGAACAATCAGTTGAGTGGAGCTCGTCACTTTACATCAACTTCATTGATTGTGAAAAGGACGTTATGGAAACTTCTTCAACACTACGGAGTTCCTGAGAAGATTGTCAATATTATCCGGAACTCATATGATGGACTACAGTGCAAGGTCGTGCATGGAAGACAGCTGACAGATGCATTCCAAGTAACGACCGGAGTCAGACAAGGCTGCCTACTCTCTCCCTTCCTTTTTCTTCTGGTGATCGACTGGATTATGAAAACCTCGATATCTGAAGGAAAACACGTAATACAATGGACAGCTCAAAACCAATTAGACGATTTGGACTTCGCAGATGACCTAGCCCTCCTATCGCATACACACGAACAGATGCAGATAAAGACAGCCAGTGTAGCAGCAGTCTGTGCATCAGAAGGCCTCAGCATACACAAAGGGAAAACCAAGGTCCTCAAATTCAAAACGGAGAACAGCAATCCAATCACTCTTGATGGCGAAACTCTGGAAGATGTAGAATCCTTCACATATCTAGGAAGCATCATCGATGAACAAGGAGGTTCAGATGCAGATGTAAAGGCGAGGACTGGCAAATCAAGTGTCGCATTCCTAAAACTGAAGAACATTTGGTACTCAAAACAACTGTCAACCAACATCAAAGTGAGAATCTTCAATACGAACGTCAAGGCAGTTCTACTGTATGGAGCTGAAACTTGGAGAACTACAACAACCACCATCAAGAAGGTACAAGTGTTTATAAATGGCTGTCTACTCAAGATACTCAACATTCATTGGTCGGATACCATCAGCGAAAGTCTTTTGTGGGAGAGAACAAACCAGCTTCCAGCTGAAGAACAAATTAGGAAAAGACGATGGAAATGGATAGGACATACACTACGCAAATCATCAAACTGCATCACGAGACAAGCCCTAACTTGGAATGATGAAGGAAGGCGGAAAAGAGGAAGGCCTAAGAACACATTACGTCGGATAATAGAAGCAGATATGAAAAGGATGAATAACAACCGGAAGGAGCTGGAAAGGATTGCCCAGGACAGGGTTGGATGGCGAATGCTGGTGAGCGGCCTATGTTCCTTCACGAGGGGTAACAGGTGTAAGTAAGTAAATCTTTTAAAATCGTAACATGTGAATTAAGGATTGTTTGTAATATAAAGTCAAATGAAATGTTGGGATGACTAATATGAAGTGTTAACTTCAATCAGTTTATGAGTGAAATGAAATTGTGAGACAAATGATCAGAATAAATATGGTCAACATGAGGTGGGATGAGAGAGAGAGAATAATGTAATTACAAATCAGAAATTACGTAATATGTATAATAATATGAATTAGATCAGATATAGTAGATAGGATTGGATGCTAAATAAATTTCTAAAAAAGGTTAGTAGGTGTATTAATAATAATAATAATAATAATGGTAAGATGTGTAGATAAGTTTGGGACATAAAAAGCAACATTAAACAAATTACGTCGCCATATTATTAACTAGTTGGCTCCGAAGTTGATCAGAGTAAAAGGAGCGGCTGAACGTATTTCTTTCGGATGTAAAGCTCTGGCTTTTTGATCGGAATAGCATTTGCCTCAGCCATCTGCAGGATTCACAGTTTGACGGAATTAGCGACACATTTGCTTAACGACACTGAGAGGTGATCACGAGCCCGAATTCACTTGATGACTGTCAACTTCATATTTCTAGTGAAATATGATACCGATTGCAATTACCAAATTCTTAAGTCAAAAAGTGTTCGATAGTTCTGTAATTTAATCTACAAATAATTAGTCGGACCAATTTTACGTTATTAATTAACACACAAATCTTATATTTTTAACACCCTGTTCATTAAAGAAAAACAAAACCAATTAAACCACTCAAATTATTAAACACAACTGAAGGAAAAAAATTCACAAGTTCAATGACTGAAAATTTTATTGGTCATAATGAATTAATTGTGGATAGATTAATCTTCAATAATGTAAGTAAATTATCATCAAGTGATTTACATACCAACTATGGTGAATTCATTAGCATAATCAATAAACCATAACAAATTATCATTGTATTAATAGTTAAAATCTTATGCAAACACCAATTTCATTACATTACACAATCAGAGAGGACCTTATATATATATATATATATATATATATTCTTAAAATTTTCATCACATTCTCGTCTGTTGACAACAAAAACAAACGATACATTTGACTAGATTATATTCCTGATTGATCATTCAGAGTTTATACACATCCAGTTTAAGTTCATTAATACTTCGATCGATAAAAACCGACTAATTTTTGTAATGGTAAATATAAATGAGAACATAATAATAAAAGTAACTACCTTACTTTGTAACAAAAAATGTGGTACAAAAGAATGCGTCAACTTTTTTTCGTTCCTACATTGATTAACAATAGATCCATTTATTTTTCAAAAAAATTTGTGATGAGTAAGTGTTAGCATAGAAAAACAGTCAATGTACATTATAGTGATGACAACATGGTTAAACAATGACTATATGTGCATTAATATAAATAAAGACTAAGGCAAATAAATAAGATTCTTATTTTATCTATTAGTATTTAAAATATGATCAGTGTGAAAGGCTCGCTTATTTTATTAACTGAATAAAAATTGGGACAACCTCTTCTGTGAATCGTATTTATTTTAACCATTTAACAAACACGTATTTTTGTGGAAACAAAATGTCTATGGACATCCGCGATGCTTAATGACATAGACGAAAAGTTGCAAACGGAATTTCATGACAGGTTGTTTATTTCTCGATGGAAATAAGACCTGTTAAATATTGAAATTCATATGTTAAATCAATTACGCAAGAAACAATGTCAAAACACTTCAAGTGTTAAGATGAATGGGAGCTAATCATTACATCTAAATGAACAGCAGACATGAGTTTAGTCATAATATAGCATAATTTTTGTATCAAGAGCGAAACACCAGGTTTTGAACGGAGGAAATCAAATTATTCAATTAAAATACATTCACATCGTTAATTCAACATTGGTTAGGAGTTATCGATCAGAGTGTAAATGCGTTGTGACTTTTGACCGACCAATTAACACGTGACATGTTCGCCAATCAGAATACGACTTAGACAATCTCCGCACTGTGTCAAAACAATCACCTATTGAACGGTGTGAGCACCCTAGAGTCCTTATTGGTCCTTTCTCCCGCCTAGCCTTGCCTGTTAAATCAAGAACGCCAATACCAGATTCTACTACATGAATCATTTAGTTCAAACATACCTGGTTTACATACAAGCCAACCAGACATCAGTAGAAAATAACGTTTGAACAACATCAAGCCAAAAAGTTACTGTGATTGTGGGAGACTGCAATCACCAAACCGATTCAAATTTAAGAATAGTAAATCGTACCATAATAGTCAAATAGTCATAATAGGTCAAAATAAGGCTTATAATAATAGGAATATAAATATACATAACGTAGTTACTCAATAGTTATACAATAAGAATATATGTATAATATTATTCCATTAGTCGCTCTCAGAAGTCACTCATAATTTAATCTGAGCTAAGATATAATGAAGTGTTATGTACTGTCGAAGGATAAATGGCCGCATATCAAAAATATTCTGGAAGAATTATATCTGTTGACTTGAAAGTTATTAGACTAAATGGATAAACTAACAGACCCGAATTCAATTCGGACAACGATTTAGTGTATTATTATCTATAATCTTTTGAACACGAGAAAATATCATTTCATATCATTTCGTTTGAATTTTAAACGGCTATTTTGACGGATATCAACGTATTAATCAACAATACTTCATGGTAATGATTTCAAGAAATGAAAAATTTAAACTTAATTTGGTCTACAATAAAAGAATTTACATAGCTGATACAGAAATAATTCTTTTAAAAAAACATAACAACTGGAACATAAAAATAATTAATTTCCCAGTTTGCCACAATCAATATATAGTTACGAAAGCGGGAATGAACATACCCAACTGAACATTTTTTCGCTTAAACGAATAGCCAGCTCTTTATCTTCAGATGAAGATTTACCTCCAGTCCAAACATAGACATGACATTTATCTGTTTGTTTCTTTTCAAGTACACTAACGATATGTGCAGGTACTTTAATTATGTAAGTAAAACAAGAGTTTAAATTTACAACTGACGGTTTGACCTGGATAAGAACAATGAGAAAGTAATAACAGATAATTTGAGTTTTAATGACAGAAATAATAGCAATGAAATTAACAAAGGAGTGAATGAAGAGAAAAATTTAATGTGATCCATATATTGATAATTATCGATAACCAAAAGACGCAGATGGTTATAATGTATCTGTACATAGAAATTGAGGCTTCCGCATTCACAGAAGACGGAGAAGGTAATGAGATGAAATGTTGTTGAACATCTTAATACAGCTAAAGGTATGATTTACTATAAGCTTCAGTATACCTAATTTAATTCACTAGTAATTTTTACATTTTAAAATGAATGAGCTTCTAACATATTAGGAAAAATATGTTGCGTCACAATGAATAATCTTAAACTAATCTTAAAGTGTAATTCAATTAGTGATAATTCCGATAATCATGTTGCTGATATTTTGACTGAATTTTGATCAGTCATAACTGTCATATACTCTGAAATGCACGTACATCGAGCTGACGAAATGTGCGTGTCGGTTTTCACAACATTCTATCTATTCTACAGTATAGTTTGATAATTTGAAAGTCAAGAGAAAACAGAATATGGAACATTGAGTTATGGAATCCAGATGAATAAATAGTTAATGAATGATTAACAAAATATGCTGTCCATATGTGTCAAAATAAAGATACAAGAAAAGCATACAGTTTAGTGAAAAACAGCTATTTCTTGATGAAAATGCTGTTATTAAGAAAAAAACGAAGAAACTTACGAATTCCAGATATACTGATTATCACAGAGACTTTACTCGACATTTTATTATTACTATTATTATTAGGTTGGCAGTGAAGGATATAAAGGATTTATTTGCATAATAAACAAAAGTATTAGTTGTAAGTGTCCACGATTCTGTGATTAAACAATGAATTGAATAGCTTTTTTTCATAAAATATAAAACACCAAAATAAATTTACAGAAATAAAACGCAATTATATACTCACACTCCTTCCTTCTCACTCACACGTTACGAAACTCTAAGAGTAACAAACACTGAAAACATTTTCCTATGGTACACATGAAATTCATCTTAATAAAATATAATACCATTGTAAATGGAATATTTTAATAATAATGTAATAGTTTACGAAACTTATCGAGTTCCTCTTAAAATGAATTTATGAGTACAGTATAAATTTACGACTATGAGAAAATAAATTATATCAACGATAAGAAGAAATGGGGCATCACAAAAACTTGAGATCAATAATACACAAATGCTTTAATCCTAACGCCCCAAAATTAAACGGCCAAGATTAATTTTCATGTGAAACATATTTAAGTTGATTTACTCAAAATATATCATTGGAAGAGTGTGTAGTAATTCCTTAAAGGTATTTGACAGAATTATGTACATGGATTTATAATAATGAGAATTTCAAGAAAATATACTGGTATCTATAAATTCCAGCTGCTTCTTTAAAAAGAGGTCGAACTGATTGGGACACTTACTTCTATACATCGAGTGGATATAAGGTTACCATTTGCTCTAATATAATACATTTGAATTCGTTCTAAACGTGATGATTCAGCACGATCACGATAATGGCCTGAATGAATGATGAACTGACGTTGAAAATGAGCTAAGAACATAGTGTCTTCTTGTTGTTGTTTTACGCGTTTAAATACTACTTTTAATGGTCGACTAACATTTTCCGGATTTTGTGATAGACGAGCTTGCATATCTTTACGAACTGAGAATTCAAACTGAAGCCAGCTTAAATCGGATGCTTCACGACCTTGCCAAAAATAGACTACAGTTTTTGTAAGATTTGAATCCTCGTCAGTATCATCACCTTGATTATCACTCTCTGAAAATTCTTTGTTTTCATCATCATAATCCTGGAAAATATTTGTTCAAGATAAAAAGTAAAATTCGTTAAGCCATAAAACGTTTTATTACATTAATGAGCGATGCGTAAGTCAGTTTATTATGATTATCAACTTAATAGTTCAAACTTTTCAGTCTCAAGATATGCAAATCTTAACTAACCGAAACTACTTGGTGGTCATCAGTAATTCAATTACAAACACTCAAGCATATATCGGAATCTCATTTTACTCATTATCTGATTGATATATTAATAATCTACATATAACAATAGTTATTCACCAGAGAATTTAGGTCCACTTTAAAAAATGGGTTTGTATTAATTAAACTTTTAAACAAATCAATAATATCGAGTAAAAACGAAAGTAGCAGCACAATGTTCTTAGTTGACTCAAATTTAGAAATTGTATGAGATATTTCAGTTACTAAAAGTTCTACTTATACAATCATTAGACCTGTCTAATAACCAACTTTACCGCTAACCCCCATGAAATCATATTTTTCGATATCATTGTCACAAGATATTCTTTTAAACAATTTTGAGTTGCGAGTAATGTTATAAACTATTTAAACAATGAAAAGGAAGTATATAACTCGAGATAAAAGCATGAAAAGGATATATATATATATATATATATATATATATATATATATATATATATATATATATGCATTCATATTCATTACCCAATAGCGTGCAATTAGAATATACGAATCTTGATTGAAGAATTGTCCAAACCAACGATTTTCCACAAGATTCCATTTCCCATCAACCATTATAAATTGTTGAAGAGCACTGCTTGACTCTACAATATTTTCTTCTGGTGGTTCAATTAATTCATCATTCCATTCAGCCATCATTTGTAGAGCTTCTTCATTGGTAAGTGGTGTTTCTCTAGGTGCTAATAATGCTCGAAGATCAGTAGCTGGTTTATCTTTTTCTAAAATTTGATTGATATCCACTCCACGACGTGCTACAGAATCAGCAGTACGGGTAAAATCTACAGCTAAAGCCTCATCCCAATCACAAAATTGACACTTGAAAATCTTAAACAAGCCAAAAACAATATTGATTTTAAAAATGTGATTATTATCATGTAAAGCGCTACTAACATGAATAATGTCGTATCGAATGAGAAAAACCATTTTGAATATCAAAGATTGAGAACGAGTGGAAATTCGGAAACACTGAACTGATGATACTAAAAAAAAATGTTCGAATATTGTCAGTTAGCTACTTGCACATGATCTAGTAATCATATAATTGAAAACTGATACTGTCTATGTGGTATGAATTACATTATGGGATACTATTTGTCAAGATATATTCTACTCCATCCTAGCACAGTAGCAAGGACAGTTGCACTACGTTAAAAATGGTATATCTATTATCGTCATGTGATAAGAGTTTGATGTGAATGTCACAATATTCAGTTAAAGCGTAAAATCAGCTGAGTAATTTCTTGAAGAGATGAAAATTCAAAATGATTCTGAAGCAAATGACTGAAGCAAACAATAAAATCGCATTTACATATAGAGGTGATGTGAATGTAGCATAGACAACAGTACCGATGTGAAGTTGATCAATTACCGTAATTATATAACTTTTACTGGTAAGTTCATGAATATAAAATGCTCATCACTGTGAGACAATAGTCTTACGTTGCAGAAGGTACGCTCAGAGGTGCACACAATAACCATCTCTTCAATGTGATTTGCCGATGACACCATCATTAAAAAACATAAAGGAAATTCATGAATTTAAAAATGATACTGTTTTCATTCTTGGATTGTCCTAGTGACCTCAGTGTTCATTCATTAGTAACAGTATATTTCATTTATTCGATTATAATTTCTGTCTAATTTTTATTTGTGCTTTACTCGTATTTCGGCTCTATAGCTGATAATACCTAAATTTTGGCATTCAGTTTCCATTTCTGAAAATTTGTCTCCGAACGCTTCGCAACTTTGTCTTCTAAGATTTTCATATAGTTGATTTATTAATATTTATGACTTATTTTCTTAATCAAATTCTATTTTATATCAAACTTTAATCTTTTTTGTAAATATGAACTAAAGTATGTACATCCATTTTTACGAATCAATATTGTTGTTTCGAAGTTGTAAAGAATTGAAGAGATCATATAAAGTCAATGAATTCATAACATTCGAGTTAATATACTGTTTTTGAAAAAACTTTAACTGATGTGAAGAGCTACGAAAGGGTGACTATTTGTTGTTTTAACGAATAAGAATCACAAAGCTCCGGTTGTAGCTCTTCTAGAAACAATGACAGTCCTAAGGCCACTTAAAGGAGGAGGGTTAGGCATCGGGTCAGCAACCCCACCCCACAGAAAACAGCCTTGCTAAAAAGCGTCAACCAGAATAAACAATTCAAACTCTGTCCTACGAAATAAATGGTCTTGTTATCTTATAATAGAGTTTGATAGAACTCAACCGTATATTGAAATGACAACTAGAATTCACTTACTTGAGTCTCAGCTCCTTGTGTACACGGTTGAAGCAATGAATCTGTAAAATCATTCCACCAATCCACATGATCATTATTTAATAGTGTTTGTGTTAGTGTAGACATATTTGATTCAGTAAATAATAATTCAAGTCCACCTAAACGACTTCTAGGCATTAAACCCATAAGTTGTAATGCTAATTTATAACCAGCAAATCGAAGGAACTTCGAAGATTTCTCACCCATCCATAAAAATAACTGACCACCACTATCAAGAATATAAACATGTTTTGAATCTAATAATCGTTTAGACAAAAGACCATTTTCAAGTTCTACCTAAAAAAATATAGATATATAATTAATCATTTTCATTTGCAATAATACGTCAAATAAGATATAAAAAAGTAAAATTGTAATGAATAAGTGTATGATAAAATAATAATCCAGGAAGACAATATTTGCAATGAAATGCTTACTTGTGGTAATTCTAAATAACCTCTTCCCATTTGAACATCATATAAAATAGGTTGAGGTAGCTGCCAGTCCGTAGGGATGAAGTCACGAGACACTACTTTCGGTGGTTGGACTACCGGAGCAGGTGGATAATTGATTTCTTTATTCTCATCATGATTATCTAAAGGTTTAATTATATGATCTTTTTGGTCTGAATTAGTAGTTGGTTTCGGTAGTGGTGCAGGAAGCCAAACACCGGTTATAATAGCCCAAAATGCATTGGATTCACGAGTTTCCGGTTCAATATGAATGGATGCTTCACCTCGACGTTCACGAACTGAAATTTTTTCAGCTAATAATCGTCCTTTAGTTTGTATAATAGAACGTGAATTTTTTCCTATCCATAAATAGAGATGAGATTGAGCATCAAGTAGATAACTGAATTTAGAATCTAAACTGAGATGAGTTAATGGCATTGAGACAATTTTCAAACGTTTCTCTGTACCGAATAACCTACATAAAAGTAGAAAAATGTGAACAAAAATGATTATTTTAAGAAAGAGTGTAAAATTAGATATTAGTTGCGTCCGTAATCTAAACTCAACAAAAAATGATCATTCAGTCCATAATGACCTGTACTAGTAAACCAGTGCGTTAAGAATCTGACTATCAAATAGATCACGAGTCAACTAACAAAACAAACTTATACTTAAAAAATTTATGCAGCACAGATCATAATGCATTATGCTTAGAATTAATACATTCAATAAAAACAAACGTGAGAATAAAAAAAACAGTGGAGATATTTGTAAAAAGCAAATACTAATGAGGGGGCTATTTCAAATATATAATTTTATGACAGCTGAGACGACTTGATAGAATATCTAAATGACTGGACTAAACTAAGGATGAAAAAGAAGAAGCTTTTTGAAGATAGGACTACCGAGTGACTGACCGTACTGTAATCAAGGAATTTCAGCTATAATTTAAAGATATAGCATACAACCAACATAATATAGCTTATAAAATGATAAATAACTGGGCAAGAATAAATATAAGACGAATAAACCGACAAAGTGATCGTGAAATTCGAAGTTAAAGATTATAAACAATTCAAAAGGTTTTACGTCACTGTATATTATATTATTAGAATGAAAGAGACATCTATCATGGAATTTATTGTGTACTCAAATAATGTATACATATACTCTTCTACCTAGTAACACTAATTATCAAAAAATATTGAATTTTCGATAAAACTGAATAGTGACTTAAGAGTATTACAAAAGAAAATATTCGATAAAACGCCTCATCCAACCTTATAGAAGAATAATAATAACATTTTGAGATAATAAAAATGAAATTATGCTGAACAAACAACACTAATTAAATACCTATAAAATCTGGGTACTACAACATCATCCTCAACATGAATAAATCCAGTCTCACCACGAGCACCGTCTAACACTATCAGATTGCCATCGAATAATGCTATAAATTCTGAAGATTCATCTCCTTCTTCTTCACGTTTAGTTCGACATTCAGCGCCAAGGAAATTACGTAGATTTACAGCATGAATAGCTGCACAAGTCTGCTTATCTTTTGTTGAACGAGAACCAATCCAATAATATATAGTCCATTCAAATACTTGATTATTACTTATAGTAGTTTGTAAGATAACATAACAATCACCATTAAGCAAATGACCTTGTAAAATATCATCTTCAACACGTTTAGGATAAAACTGATCCAATTCCCACATCTGCACACCAGGATTTATACCAGTATCCTGAAAGTTTTTATAAGGAAACGTATATTAATGCGCATTACAATAATTATTTTTTGGTTATTAACAGTATTTTAATCAGTTAGAAGAACGAAAAATACTAAAATCTTTAACATCTGTTGAATGAATATCATAAGAAGATGACACTTATCATCTTGTACTTCTACATAATAGCAAAGGTTTAGACAATATGTTCAGTACAAATTGTTACAGGATGGTATATTGAACTCCAAGGGTTATGTCTAGAGGATCTAGTTGACTAACGACAAATAACATGAAATTTTTTGTGCATGTTTGTGAACAATTATTTATGTAGCTACTTCATATAAAAAGCATTTTTAAAATGATCGTGAGTTGTCAGTTAAATAGTAATATAAAGACCAATAAAATTGAAGCTCACATGCCTCGTCAAAAATTCCTGTATAATCGAGTCGTGGTCTGGCTAACAGATCTTGCCAACGTCTAGCCGCCAATTTACGTGTTTCTTCTTCAACCTCATGTTCCTTTTTTTCAAGTAGTTCTTCTTTCTCTTTAGCTATTCGTTGCATACCTTCAAGTACACATTTACTATCTTTTCCGACACCTTCTCCTCGACGCCTTCTGAGACGTCGTAACCGAGCAGCCGGATCCTGTTAAATCAAATTAACAAAAACTTATGATTAAAAAACGAGGTTTTTATAGGGAAGACATCAATTTCGAAACTACAGTCATTCTATGCTAGCAAAAAATCATCACAAAATTATTACACTATCACAACTTATAAGCATTTTTTGAGGAATTTCCAGCGTTCCGATTAGCCTAATGGAAGTGGTCCAAAGCCATATAAAAAATTCAACTAACTTGGCCGCATATGTTGGACCTATTATTACATACCAATTATCAAATAATCTACAGCACAGTGAAATATTTGGGGGGGCTGAATGTGTATTTTACATTCCTTTTACATGACAATACATAATGGTATCTCCAAGTGAATCAGTCAGTCATACGCAAAATAAAACTTGACGCTTATATGTATTCATTCAAGTTGCTATATCGTAATAGAAAAGTGAAATAAAACTATGGGGGGAAATTCCAGAGTTGTAGAAGTAGCACTAGTTTCAGTAGTAGTAGAAATAAGTATAGAAAAAGAAAATGGAGGTATAAAGAGACTTCAAGACTCAGGTTTTCAAGGAATGCAATTAGTGAACGGATCTATGTCATTATGAATGACTCTGAGCCAAATGGCCCAAAATCTTTAACCACTGGGTACGATAATCACATACCACAACATGGTATTCTAAATATATATTACAATGGCTCAGTCTAATTTTCAATGAATTCATAGACTGAGGCTACATATTGGTTTGGTGTGCCCCTAAACGTCTTCCAACCTGATCCTACACCAGACATCTCATGCTTCAAAAACACGTATGATCGAATACTAGTAAACTAAAAATATCCTCTAATAATAATTGCCATGTTTCGCGACCGTAGACTAAGACAAACAGAAGTGCTACGCAGTAAACTCATTCCTTTGTCGGAAGAAGAAGAATATATGATTATTCAAACAAACATATACAAATGAACTAAATAATCCAATTATCAGATACATAGATCAGAACGTTAATTAAACTGATTACTAATTTCGTTGAGGAATAACAATCACGAAAATGTAATCAAAGTTATAAATAAGGTTATATAAATAAGTGTAAACATTATTAAAACAGAACACTAACAACTGTAACACGTTACCTTTGGATGATGAATCGTTTCAGTATTTAAAGCTGGTTTCCCACGCATCATACGTAGTTGGGCGTCCAGTGAGAAATCAATGTTATAAAAAGCTAGACCTGCACCTTTCTGTAACTCGGGTGGTTTCGGTGGTATTTTCAATTGAGGATTATTGTCAACTTCAAAAACATCTAAAGATTCTTTCAAATAATGAATAGCATCAGGAAGTGTAAGAAGACGATTTGAGTTCAGTATCAGACGTTTTAAACGACCACATCGACATAGACCTGGCAAGAAGGGATGAAATGATTCATCAAAATGAACGTATATGCATAATATACGAGCAAAAATTAATCTACGTAACTTATATCACAGAATGAAATCAGTTAACGAACCACCGAAATTCAGGAAGGACTAGATAGCTGTCCCGTTTTATTAACTAAATAGAATTGTATTTTCACGACCTTACTAGAAATCGAAAACAGAACCACCTGGTCCTACTGAGAGAGTTTAACCTTTAGACTAGTGAAGCAGCATCTGATGGTTTATATGTATAACATCAATCAATTCACGACATTGTGCAACCATTTTCCAACTCTGTTGGTGAGTAGCGGCTTCACAATCTAAATAATTGAACTACACAAGACGTGGCTCTTTACTGAAATTCCGGGAATTAGTGACAGTCTACCAAAGTTAAAAAGTGATCTTTATGTGGCTTGTCTATTAAAAAAAAAAGAATTACCAAACCATAATTACTAAATGGTGAGGGAATATGATTACCACATAACAAAACATCCAGTCCTATGGTTACAATGATAAGACTTTCTGCAGTAAAAGTCTACGAAGAACATTGCTACTGAATTATATTTAACGAAATTTAATTTCTTCAGCAAATATCAGTTTGTGAAGCCCATTATGGAAAAAAATCATATAGCAGTTTTTAACGATTACCTATGAAAAGCTAAAACAACTTACTTTCTGGTATAGTCTCCAATTCATTGTGTGATGCATCGAATATTTCCAAATCTTGTAATTTACCAATTCCTGAAGGTATACCACCAAATGTCAACTGATTATTATTCACATATAATTTACGTAAACATGACAAACGAATTAATCCGGTTGGTAAATGAATTAACTGATTATAACTAAGATTAAGGTATTCCAGTTTAGGCCAGTCACCAGTTAAAGTGGATAAATCTGATAATTCATTATGCGCTAAATTTAGTTTACGAAGATTTTTAAGCTGTAATTTCGTTGTCACATTTATGACCAATGTTATTATTGTTGGCGTTTTTTGTACAGTTTTATCGATGTGATTTTCATTATTGACAATGTTGTAAGATGTAACAAACAATAAGGGAAAAAATAAGAATATATATGATTATAAGCAGTTGAAGAAAAATCACAAAACAAAATAAAATCTTGTTCATTCTACCTCAGTTACAGTTTTGGCTTTATTCGAATATTAGAGAGACATAACATTGGATTAACTTATTATTCATGAAATTAGTTATATTAATAGACTAAACAAACAACTATGAAATCCAATGATTCAATGAATTAAACACATCTTAGATAAAATGCATTTGCAAATGTAAACATGCAAATTAATGTGAATTATTCTATCCGCTTAGTTGATTATGATTAATTCCTTAAACAATAAATATCGTGATTTATTATTATAAATGTGAGAAACTAACACTTGTTTTTTATTTCCAATTTTAAGTAGATAGTTATTATATCACCGCAAGTTGATAATAAAAATTAAGGAGCTAATCGTATATATAATAGATTAATCATAATTTAGTTAATTGTAATGAAATTTTTATTAGACAAAACAAATATTTAATAAGTAAATGATTTTTTTAGTTGGACATAAACTGACATTTAATTATTTAACTAAATCGTTATTATCAGAAGGGGTTTTGTGGAGATTTTAGAAATTCCGATAGTTGAAATCATGAGTTAATTGAAGCGAGACCACCATGAATAACCTGGAAGCACTGGAAATTTAAATTTCTAAAATCTCCACAAAAACCTATTCTGATAATAATCATCTGCTCACTAGTGACTAACTCCGAGAGACATTCCTGGAGTTCTAGTGAGAAGCCGTGACCAGTGGAGTTCAACCAGATCAGTTGTGAGATATCAGCTCACTGAAGACAATGGTGTACAGTGGCGCGATTTCGTGGATTGGTTGAAGTTAGACATTAACACCGTTGAATGACTGCCCAGTGGTCTAATGGTTAAGCGCTCGCGCGCAAGACTGATAGGTCCTGGGTTCGAATCTTGCGGAAGGGGACGGGATCGTGAACGCGTACTGCTGAGGAGTCCCATTCTAGGACGAGACGGCCATCCAGTGCTCCCAGATTTTCCATGGTGGCCCAGCTTCAATTGACTCATGATTTCAACTATTAAATTGTTATTAGTTTAATACACTAGACATTTAATTTAATTTACATAAATGTTATTCAATGAATTTATTACTTTTAGAATATATTTTCATAATGAACTAGTTGATACACTTAAAAACTAAAAATTATTCTATTTATTTACAAATTTTCTTAAACTATAAACATATTTTCTGTGTATAATTTACAGCTTAAACACAATATTAACAGGATACCATTAACTAATTACGACTTTGTTGTCTTCTTTTTTAGCATTTAACTAATTAAAAAAATTAGCATTGAAAAATTATAGTTTTTTCTTGGACATTAAAATGAATGTACCTTCGATTGACTTAAAATTGATGACAATTATAAATTTAAATAAACCAGATCGCTTTGGAATATTTAATATATTTAAGTAGATAATAATAATAATAAATTTCAAGTACTTTGAAGAGAACAGTTAATTTCCATCAAGATTAAATTTTATTTTCTTATTCAAAGGTTTAGAAATAAATAAGAAAACCTAAATAATCATACAGTAACATACCGATAAAACTGGTTCAGGAATTTTTGTCAGTAAATTACACGACAAATCTAATTCAATAAGACGTTCTAATTTATCTAATTCATTTGGTATATTGTCCAGTCTTCGTTCAGTACCTGATAAATTTAAAACCTAAAAAATGAAGAAAAAACAACATAATAACATAAATCAAAAGTGTAAAAAATTGCATAATCACAATTATTTAAATATTAGGATTTTCTACCACGAAAATCATTATATCGAATAACAGGTTACTGTTCAAACAAGATTTATTTGTGGAAAGTGAATTCCTATTGAAGTAAACTAAAAAAAATTGTTACCATGTTACAGAACTAGTTGAATTGAGTAAAACTACCCATTGAACTATAAGTCACATATTTATTAGTGTTATAATTGCTATAACACCTGAATAATCCGAATTAGAATACAAAAACAATATAAGTTGTGTAATGATTCACTTTGAAATCAATAAAAAATTGAACTTTAATTTGTTTTTTTTTCTTATCAAAGATGATTTTAGAACGGTGTTTCTAGTGGTATTGTTCATTAAGTGCTAACCCCAAAAAACGTCTACGAGAGACCAGCGTAATTGTGTATTCAAAAAGTACATTTTCTAAATTTATTTTAAAACATATATTATAGAGATAGAAAGTCCACTTTCTATTCAAAGTGACAATATGTTTTTATTTATATCAATGTGTATCTTAAAATACAATTGATAAACATAACATAAGAAACAATGAATGTTCCTGACGATAAACTAAATTTTGAGGGAGAAATATACTAACACAAACATCGTATAAAAATATATTCATCTGTAAGATGAAGATGTGATAGTCATTTTTACTTAAAAAATAATAAATTCATCGAAAATGAGACAAAGGAATAAAGAGTTTCCAGGGAATTAAATATATAGACAAAGAAAATTCTTAATATAACATTCATAAAACTATAAACAGATTAAGTTAGTTACTTATTATTGTAAACAACCCACGTTCCAAAATTGTACCAAGAACATTCGTAAGCTTTCATGATAAGTATAATAATTACAAACTAATTGATATTATGCGCACTACTGAAGAGTCTGAAGTTAAATGCTTTTGTCAAGTAAGAGGCATAAAGTACTCCACAGAAAACTTTTAAGGTTAGAAAAGGCAGAAAAAAACTTCGCTCATGCAATGTTAGGAGAAACTTCTCAAAGAGTTTTATCGCATCATAATTAAACAGTTACCGATTTCGGCAAGTTCATAGAATATCCTAGAAGATTAAAGTGGCACATAAACCTACAAATATCCTTATATTTTGTACTTAAAATAACCTCAAAAGTAAAGCTACGTTCCATGATTCTCTACTTTCACCTTCTGTTCGATTCTCACCGAAGAAGATGGCCAGGGGACTAAGAGGCAGTTAGACGTCGTTACCAAGCATTTAAGTACTTAACACACCAACCACTAGAGAGAATCGATTTCGAATACAAAAGTGAGTTTAAATTACTGAAGTACACACATAATTTTTTTAAAGTCTTCAATTGGACCGAAAAATGAACATTTACCTCAAGTTGTTTCAACGCTGTCACTGATCTAAGTTGAGCATGACGTAACGGATTATTACAAAGGATTAATTGTTGTAGTGAACAACAACGACGCAATTGTGCTGGTAAATTTTCTAATTTATTATTACCCAAATCTAGAAACATTAATTCTGTACATTGAACAAATAAATCCGGTGAAATTAATGCAATTTGATTGTTGCTTAGATTTAAAGCTAATAAGCCTTTAGCTTTTTCAATTCCGTTAGGTAATTGTGTTAATTGATTACAACTAAAATCAACAACCTACAAAAAACACAATATAGAACAAAAAGAGAATAACATTAAAAATGGTATTACTGAAGTGTAATAGATGAAAAGTTGATATTGTAAGACAATAAAACAAAAAAGACATGGTAATACTAATAATAATTTAAATAAAATTCCATTTAATCTTTTCAGTACAGATTAATGTCAACTAGACAACTAGTGTTAACCTAAGGACGCAGATACGATTGTTTAATATCCTAGCTTGTGATTTATCAGCGATGCACACTAATCAATTTGAGGTATTCAATGAAACATGATACTTGTGCACTAAATCAATGAGAATACAATTGCCTATACATATTCAACTTGAAGTGAAATTTATAATATAGTCCAAACAGTTGGACGATCAGCGAAAGTCGATCCGTGGGTATGCGAATTGGTTAGGAGTTTTTAACTCGCACAGAACAGTTGTACAATGGTCTCTTTCCTAATTTTGTCAATATTACTTTTGCAGAGGATGATCATCCGTGAAGAAAACTACTTCTAAATCGAATAATCTCTACTAACTTTATATTTTAATAATCTAATTTCAAACTGATTTGTTTCTTTTGTCTAAAGTTTTTAGCAAACGATATCAATCTTCTCATACATCACAGAGATTAGAATTAAGAGAATAGTCAAGATAATATATCAAAGCTAAATTCCATAAAATGTCATACGAGAAAAAAGATTTTCCACAGATCTTTCCTTCCTTGTTCAAAATTATTCATAAAATAAAATTTTTATGATTTAAAAAAAGCACTGGGTCGATCTTGACACATACTTTTATTGAGATACGGTGACCTTAGTCAGACAGTTGAATTACCAAACGTAATATACATAGAGTTAAGAGAAAGTGTATACTCTTGGGATCTGTGCGTCGAACTTTCAACAACAATCTACCAGCAATCGTATCAAATGGATATGGGTCACTGATACCATGGGTCCTAACTTATTTAATTCACTACGTATGGTTTGAGTTTTAGTGATTGGAAAGAGTTATGATAGTAGAGATGAAATTAAACCTGTTCAAAAGAAATATCAGTTCCTTCAAATGAAATTAAAAAATAGTGCTTGATGGAAATGTTCACAGAGAGTCAAATAATAATAGTAGGTAGAAAAAACTATCAACTGTGAATTCCATGAATCTGACAGTGAAGTTATAGCAGATAAAATTTTACACAAAGGAACAGAGTACTAGCTTCAAGCGGTATAGCAGAAAATCTCGATCAAACAACACAAATCCAAAATGCTTCAAGTGCGAACGAAATGTCATTATCTGAATGTATAGTAAATATGCTAATTTCAAGTTCGCCTTTGTAATTTTATGGTATTCTACTGAATCTGCAGAATATTAACAAGATCAATCTGTATTATGTAAAAACACTTTGGTTGTAGCCGAACACAAGTTTATATACACGGCTTTAAGACCACGCATTGTATGATGCCCCCGAATGTACAGTCAAGGGTGTGGAGAGTAAACTCCCCCTCTCAAACTGCTCTCACATGGCCACGCGTGTACAGCCACTATCAGGGAAGTCCTAATCACTGTCTTTTCGCTGCGTGATTTTTTACGAAATTGAGAAAACTAAAAGCGAATGTCCGGTGCTTTAATCGGGTTGGCTGATACGGAGGATCCACCCAGAGGAGTTGTAAAACTCTGATTCCAAATCAATGGTGCACATAAGCTCCAGGATCCTGAAGGAACAAATGGCGTATGAACCTATTGCTGATCATCGGCCACAATGAAACTGCATCACCTAAGGTTACTCGACTGTCTTACGGATAAGACCTTTAGGTCAAAGGCTCAGGGAATGCCTCCTAAGAAAACTGACTGCTTCGGTTTGGGTGCCTGTGCAGTACTCCATCCCCTATATAAATCGAATGAAGTGTGGAGCGTATGTATTTGGTGCCTCCTTGTATCAATGTTTATATGTTTTAAATAAATAAACATTGTATGGTAGCCAGTGGAACAGTGATCAGGTTACCCAGATCGGAGCGGAAAAGATTGAAAGAGAAGGGTAAGGTAGAGCTGTAAATAATGAAATAATGCCTCATGTTTATTGCTATTACCGATCCCGAAGCATATAGAAGTGGCCGAAATGTTTAGAGTAAGAAAATATAAAAGAACAATCGTACCAAATTATTCATGAGAATTGTGCGAATAAACTCTAGACATCTTCTGTCAGTTACTTAATTATATGCAAAGTAGAACATGATATATATGTCAATCTGTTAGAGTTGACACATTACACTGGCACAGTAAGATAAAATTATTTCAATACATATCGACAGAATAGAATAAGTAGTAGCAGTATTGGCAGTACTGGAAAAGACTAATTGTAAAAAGGAAATAATAGAATGAGATCTTTGGACTCAAATAGTAGAAGAGAAAGATTATATGCATCTGTATCACTGTGACTTACTTGAAGATTATTACACTCAAATAAATCAGCAGGAATAGCATCTCGACTTGTTAATTCATTTTTACGACAAGTAATCATTCGTAGACTAGGTAAAACATTTGGCCAACCTTTGATAGAACATAAAGAAGTTAATTCATTTCGAACTAAAGATAAACTTTCCAACTGTTCTAAATGTGTTATTTCTTTTGGTAAAAATTTCTCTTTTAAACCGACGTTTTTTAATTTTAACCATTGTAAACGGCACATATCTTGAAGTATTTCAGTAGAAGGCCATATTGAAGGAAGAGGAAGGGATGAATTATCATTTTCAGTATTATTTTGAGTACGTCGAGCAACTCTCTGTTTATCTAAAAGATCTTTGTGCTTTTCAAAATTGATACCAGATAGATCTAAACCTCTCAAGTACTGAACAACAGCCATGTTGAGAATAGGAAATTATTTTAAGTGATTTTTTTCGCCTGAATATTTTGACGAATACGAATAACTCTATCCTAAAATGAAATGGAAATTATGTATTCAAAAATAAATAACTGCATACGAATTAAAAACTAATCATATTGTAATTTTAATGATTCAAAGACGATAAATGATTTTTCATAGAAAAAACGATTATTGATAAATTATGTAAAAGATGAGTACGCAATGGATTAGAAGTGAACTATAAACAAAGATGGATGATGGATAGCAGTGAAATACAGGAAGCGCGTTCAGTCCTATTGGGGACTCGTCAGCTGGATGTGCCTGCATCCCAGAGTTGGTGTCGGCTCTGGGATACGAACGCCGTACCGTTCGCTTCAGATGCCGTCGCGTTATCCACATAGCTACTGAGTCCGGATAATCATTACCTTGTGTGCAATAGGGTGAATTTTTAAGTCATTCTCAGTCCTCAACATCAACATCAACATGGGAAGATTCAAACAAACAATACAAAAATGAATTAGAAGTGAAGGTTTCGAAACTGTTTCCGTAAACAACAACACTTTCTAGACAAAATCCATAAGTAAGGATAAGCTGTCTACGAGGGAATTCACAAATCAAAGATATACCTTAGTGATGAATATAATGAAACATGCAATATTGAACAAAATATATGCTAGCTGTTAATAATGAATTTAACTTATTCGGCTGATTAATAACACAATTTCGAAAATGTTCAATGTAGACAAATGAGCACATCCGATAACTAACAAAGTTAAGTAAATAACGAAATATTCGACAATTAAGGAGAATATTATCGTTTATATAATTACAGATTAACTGTAATCAGATAACTAGTGGAAACTACAAGCATCGTGAAGCTATTCAGTCCTAACACATGATTCCTCAGCTCAATAGGTACAAACCACTGAACCGGTATTCGATGGTTTAAATGTTCATATTTTAAAATGAACAGCATCGATTTCTCTATTATTCGAGTATCTCTCGAAATTGCACTTAAAATGTTTCATAAAAAAAACATTCGAAATAGTTTTAAGTTTTAATTAGTTAACATTATTAGTAACTAATCTTCTCTAATACATAATAATAGAAAAATAAAAAACAGCTAAGTATATAGCACAAACAATCAGCATAAAATGACAAAAAAATTGTTTCATTCATAGATAAAAAACTGAAATGGGTGGTGGTGACACATGGTTTGAAAATAGTATAAAAAGTCATTATTGTACATACATGTATTTGCATGTATATAAGAGCATTGCTAAAATTGTGGCCACAATTACAGTAAACAAGAGCCTGAAGTTGAGCTGTTTAGTCAGATAAATATTTGTAAAACGTCACGTTAACTAAGTATTAGCAAAACGTATTATGATAGAAAATGGGTCAATATGCATATGCATATATATATATATATATATATATATATATATATATATATATATATATATATATATATATAATTTGAAACAATTTTCATACTAGTACACTAACCTGTGAAATACGTAAAGAATTATGTACTTTTGATATTCGTTGTTTATATTCTTGTAGTACCAATACAAATGGTTCTAGATTCAGAGGACTATCTTGAGCTTTAGCTAATCGACCTAGTGCTTGATTTCAAGAGTTAAAGAGAAAAGGAATACAACAACATAAAAATATCTTCAAATTTAATATTGATAATATTAACGAAATAGAACAATAAATTCTTATCAAAGATAAATTTTTTAAAGAAGAATATCAGTTGATAACTGGATAAATTTGAATTATTTGTACACACGTCAAACAGTCTAGTTATTCAATTCAGCAATGCCAAAACAGAATATCGGATAATTGGAGTAGGTTTGGTAGCTGAAAAGCTAATTTGTTCAACAGAAACCCATAAATATATTTTACTTCAGTCTTACAGAAGCTAACATTACAAACACCATTAAAGTAGAAACTTAACGGTCAGTAAAAGGCTTTCTGATTTCAGATAAAAATGAACATCGAAGATTGATACTAATGGGAAAAGTTAGTAGATATAATAAACGAAGCTGTTAAGAATGTCCACCTTGCAAAAATCGGAAAACCACTCATTGATTATTAATATAGTTGACAGTTACTCATTAAACTTATAAACATTTGCATATACTGATAATCCATCACTTTAGAATAGATAGTAAGCACAGGTTTGAAAATAACTTTGAATGTTTGGTTAGCCTTTTAGTTATTGCTAACTGTTGACAGGAGAAATGTTTATAAGATTATGGAGGAAATAAAAAACATTCGATTATTAATAATAAACTGTGATGAAAAGTGAATGGATATTGATCAATAAGTCACTAATAGATTAAAACAACCGATCAACAACTTTTTCACAAATGCCCGATCAAAATAGTTTACCTACTAATCACCTCTATTCAAATAATGTACCTCCACTTTATATCCTTTCTTCCCCATCTACCTGATCATACTTAAATAGACGCGAAGGTTTCATTTTTGTCTTCTAAATATATTATTATTGTTGTTAGGACATTGAAACTTTATTAGAAATTAAATTATGAAGAATCAGAGCAACAATCCGTTAGATTAGATACTAGTTTAGTTAAAGTCATTTTTCAAATAACCAATAAACTATTCGACTTTAAAAAGAACCAAACTTAGTACATAGGAACTACAATCAAAAGTGGTTGAAACGCGTCATTTTCTATCACCGCATCTGAAGTTAAAACCATTCTCATTTCACTCCACTTGTATCGTTTATCTGTATCATTAATCTTTTCTTACATAAACACACATAAGTGTATAGGTTTGAGAATTTACAGTAATTTCTACATTGTGATGATCCTTAAAGTTGATTGAAAATATTCAGAATTGTAACGAAATCATAAAAATACACTAAACTAACCTTGATCTAAGGCGATCAGTTGATCTTGCAGTTGTTTTTGAGATGATTGTAAGTCACAAAATGCTAAATGAAATTTATCAACAGTATCCTTTAATACAGAATATATTCCAATAGAAAACTGCTTAACATTCAAATGTTGACAATCATCATCGATATCATTATCGTCGATTTCAGTTTTTATCTGTTCATTACTGTTTATCTCGATATTACTATCTTGTTCATTATTCTCTTTTGAAGTATCGGAATTCAGCGAAGCAGTAGTAACTGAATGGGATCGATCAAATTCAGGAATTCTAGAACCGGGATTTGATCCTAAATTCTAAAAATGAAGCGAAAAACAACTTGAATATAGTGTTCAAGCCAAATTTGAGTTCCATTGAACGCATAATCACCTAGCAATTCATAGTGCCTAATCTGTATTAATGAATGTTACAGTGATAACTGAAATGCTACCAAGTATGGTAGGATTATTTTAAAAACACAATATTAACAGTTTTATCTGCATGAAACATCCAGTTATTTCAACAAACAGATAATACTTATGTGATCCAAGATAGAACTCGTGTTGTTTAACTCAGCTAGATACTACATTACAAATAATAAAACACATTTACTACATCCCCATGAGTAGAAAATTTAGTTTCTGACATTCTGTGACACAATGTATTCGCTTCAAAAAAATCAATCATCCAACATTCAGTTTAAAAAATAAAACAATCAGAGCGCTACTGTTTGACATAATCTAAGACTGAGAATGAACATATCAAAGCACTTTCATGCCCAGAACAGCAACTTGCTATCGTATATGGTGTAGGCAAAGAAAGAAAGGTGTGGGCCACGTACTTTGGTTTCTTATCATATTAAGAGCAATAAATATTTTGTTTTATTGATGTTTAAAAAAATCTTTTCCAAAATAAATTGAAAGCATTTCAGTACAATTTGTAGTTTCAAGAGGATAAAAATTTAATAAAGGTATCAAGTGATAAGTTTCAGTGTAAATTTTCTTATAGTCTTTTAAGCAACCATTATAAACTATTGTACCGTTTAAACATAAAACCTAATAAATGGAAGTCAAGTAACTATAAAGAGCTTTTAAATTCATGTTTGAAGCGCACCTTATATGTGATACCATCCACGTGACCAAAGCGAAGTAGGTAAAGGAAAGTCTAAGACTGTAGTCCAGATATTTGAACTGTATAATCACTTCAATCAAATAATTCAGTGTAAAATAAAGATAACTATTAGGCTAATAGTGAATCATTTCAATTGATGAATTATTCAACTGACTCCTGAAAAAAAATAAGGTACACATTTTATAAAGCATTGGTGTGACAGTCATCTAAATAACATAACACTAAACGAACTTTGAGAGAGTACTCTTCATTACTATTAAGCTTAAAAACGTTAAACGATAGGAATAAACAATGGATAGAAGTAAAACCTGATTATCAGGCAAACACACACTTCATGCATAACCCAAAGTAAAAAGTCTGGTATAATATTACCAAAATATATTTCTCTAGAAATATATATATATATATTCAGCAATCCTACATGCTGTTAAAGTAGTAATGGTACAAACAATACCTAAAAACAAAACAAATTGATTTTCTCTTTTCTTTAGTCTGAAAAATAAACCGAAGAAGCTATAATTTTTCTGTCAACTTGAATTAACGAAAGATAAACTGAAGAAATTTTTGTAAATAAAACAACACTGCTATTAAAAGAATACAATAAAAAAAATCAAAACACTGAGAAAGATTATCGGAACGCTGTTTGAAGAAACATCGAAAGATAGAAATCTATAAACAAAAAGAAATTAGAATGATCAACAAAATGCACAATAGATTATGGGAAACAAACAATTGTTCTCACGAAAACGCATAAAATCAAAGAGATGTAGACAACAGCAGTGTATATACATTCAACCCTGTTTATCACAGTTAAATTAATAATTTTCATCACCAATTACATGAGAGCATATTACTAATTACCAAGTTGACGAGGTCGAATCGGCCTGTTCTTAATAAACAGTAAGTCAATATAGGAAACGTAGTTTGACAAACAAAATGTAGAGTAGCAGAAAACAGCAAATATTTATTCTAGCCATTCATTATTATACATCTATATAATAAAATCTAACCGAATATATACAACTTTAGTTTCAAAATTTTTACATTGATTGATGTAAAGAAATTACTGGAAGACGATACAATCCAGTAACAGTAGAGTATACAATGATGAATACAAACAACTGAAAAGAACAAATATATGTATATGTACGTGAATGAGTATACTAAATAAGTGAAACTCTGTGTATGCACATATACAATATAGAATTAGTGAAATACACTAGTCTATGTAAATTTCCAACTTAAATAAACACAATTATATTATTGTAATAGTCAAAATAAATTGTATCTGTTAAAATTAACAGAGGCAAAATAAGTCGAAAAAAAATTGACAGGAAATAAGAATTTTCTTTAATTTGATAGAAGATCAACATTTTATCTGATTATTGAATCTCTTATTAATTAACTATACTTATAACTGTTAGCATAAGAAAAAATAAAACCAATTGAAGAAAAAAGAAAAAAAAACAATGAAAACTTATGATGAATAATAAGGTATAGATAATGTAAGTTATTATGAAAAAAAGAAACGAAAATATTAAAGAGAACGAAAAATAATAAACAACAAGTTTATTCGAAAACACGAAATTTTTCTTGAATAGAGAAGAAAAGAAAAATTTACATGATAGAATAATAATAATAATAATAATAATAATAATAATAATAATTATAATAATTATAAAAAACGGAATATGTTTGGGAAAACACTTTCCATATTTATCCCATAAATACACATATAAACAAAGAAGGTATAATATAACAACAGTTAGGGATAATGAGATTATTTCAGTGATGAAATTACTTGAAAGAGGATTGTATAAATGAATGAATGGATGGATGGGTGGAATGAAATCAAAAGATAAATAACAGATTAAAAAACGAATGAAAGAAGAGGAAACGAGAGTAGAAACGATGACATATGAACACATATTTTTAAAGACACAAATGGTAATTAGTCAGGTAAGTAGATTTACAAAGGAGAAATAGTAATTACGATCGAAAACAGAAAAATAATAAAAGTTGATACGATAATTAATCAAAAATCTAACTGTACACGTACACTTACAAATTTACAAATAGTTGAGACTAAAATATGATAAAAATGGATGGAAAAGAAAAGAAATGAAAGATTAAGATTTGCGCAGTTGGAGAAATCATTTGCTGACTAATTATTGATTTGATGTTATTTTATTGTTGGAATTCTGATCAACTACAGATGGTAATGATACAACTGATCCTTTTCCCGTTTGATTTCTGATAAAAAGAAAAGAAATTGAAAACAAAACAGCGGAATAACAACTATGACGAATAAAGTTCTATATAAAGGTAAACTATGCATTACTAAAATGATGTTGCCACTGGATGTCAGCAATCCGTTGCAGACAACGATGAACAAACACAGCGAGTCATCTAACATCCTCAACTCGGAGAGGCCAGGTTTCACAAGCATAGAGCAAAACTGCTCTCTCCGACGCGTTGTAGATCCGAACATTTACAGCCAGACTAACATCACGAAGGCGCCAAAGATGGCCCAGATTGGCATGAGCCGCTCTGGCTTTCACTATACGTGCATTAATCTCATCACTCACGTCACCACCAGCACTTATGCAGCTACCCAGATACACGAACTTCTCGACTACTTCTATCTGCTCACCATCCAGTGTGAGTACAGGATTGGAATCCTGTCAGTCTTGTAGAAGTACATTGCACTTCGAAGGTGCAAAGCACATACCATACCTACGGACACTGGTTGCCAACTGATTAAGTGCGGATTGTGTTGCTTGGGCATTATCGCACAGTAAGACAATATCATCCACATAGTCAATGTCGAGAACTTCTCCAGGCAACAGATCCACACTGCCATTACTTACATCCATCAGAACTGTTTCCAGAATGTCATCGGTGGCAAAGTTGAAGAGGAATGGTGAGATTGGGGAATCCTGTCAGACCCTGTCTGCGACCAATAAGTCGCCATGGGCCACCTAAACGACTCTATTCTGTGCCTAGACGCCCGACCTGAGCATTCAAGTCTCCGACTAGTACTACAATATCTGTCGGAGGCATTTTCTGGAGAAGAACAGTAAACTGGTAGTAAACTCATACGTTATCGCATCCGGGTTGCAATCCGTCGGAGCAAAGGCGGGGATGACGAAAATACATCGTCCCTCACATAGGTTTCTTCGCACTTTGATAGAGCTTTATAATCTGACAGTACATAATCAACTAATAATGGGGATCCAATAGATCAGTGCTGCGTTAGTCCTAGCGCTTAGTGCGACACCAACGCCAGAAAAACAAGACGAAAATGCCATAGGGTACCCGGATAAATACACGTAAAACAGGCTTTTCGAAGGGACAGATGGAGAGCGAATTTGTAGTACATTACTAGTCTTGAATATGGGTCTCAGATAGACAACAGACATAGATGTTAAGACTTTCGAAAGACATAGTTAGCCCTATCTGGTGTCCGACCTGCATTAGCGTGCGAAAGTTGAAGAAGGCCAGTTTGAATAGTATGCGTGGTAACAGAATGATTGTTTCAGTATTCGTAGTCGGTGGTAAAATTCAACCATTTAGTGACTTGAGAAGCTTTAGTTAGGACAGGGTTTCCACCGTAGGCGAGCTGCTGTATAGGTCGAAAAATAAAATACGCAAAATGATAATAAAAGGAACAACATATGTGATGTAGTATAAAAGAAATAAAAACGAATGTTATCATATGGTTGTGGATGAGATTTGTCAGAATAAGCGTTGAAGCAAAAGAAATTTCTCCAGTTATAGTTATCATTTATTTGTATGAAGACTGGAATACTGCACGGGCACAACCTGAAGCAGGTGGATTTCTTAGGAGGCCACTCCCCGGCTATTTAAGCTAGAGGTCTAAACCACAAGATAGTGAAGCAACATAAAGAGATGCAGTTTCATGGGAACTGGTCACCAACAACTGGTTCATACGTTGTTTTTTTCCTTCAGGATCCTGAAGTCCATGTGCACCATTGGTTTGGAATCCGAGTTTTTCAACTCCGTTATGTGAATCCTCCACATCTAACAACCCGGTTAAAGCACTGGACATTTGCTTTTAGTTTTCTCAATTTCGTAAATAATCACACGGCGAGAAGGCAATGAACAGGGAAAGAATAAAAGTGAATGTAACTCTGAACTACTGTAACTGATTCTGAATCACAATTCTCCCAACCTAAACACTGACAGATTTTACGAAGAACGATTTCAGATTCCTAGTGAAATCAAAAATATTTCATCGGTTATTACTGTTCGACATGATTTAACATAATTAGCCCCATTTTGTAATGATCAAAAATACGATATGTTCATTGTATTTGACTAACTAAAATTTCTTAAGAAGTATGAATTCAATGAAGTGTAGAATTATACAATCTAAACTGTTATTTTCACTTAATCTGTGTAAGGTTGAACAATATTATTATTTCAGTTGACCAAAATTGAGTACGTTAATGAATAAATCCGAATTTGTAACTTAGTAATGAGAATTTAAGTAATTAAACAACAGAGATAAAGCTACATTTCATGGTGAAAGATAATTAAAACACTGAAACAATTATCATTATTATTATTATTATTATTACCATTAACATTTGAAAAAAATTTAATCATTAAACCGTGTAATGTTAGGATTTATATGCAGAATTTAACAGTTATAGATATTATAAAGGTATCTAAGTTAAAATGTATCGAGGAATATTCATACCTATAGACACAACTTCTTTTTAGTGACCAGAATTTTACTGCTACTCAATTTATAATACTAATTCATGCATATGAGTTTTAGGTGTATTGATTACGTGACGTCTAATTATACCGCCAAGTCGGTCAAACTGAAGCACGTAGGGTGATGTTTGAAATAGCAAACGTTTTAAAACGTAGGCTACATGTTTAGATGCGGGAAAAATGGACTGACCCTTACATAAGTATAAACGGATAACACAGTGGAAAACAAATATTCGGATGAACTCGATGAATGAACATAAGGCTAAGTTATAGAAAAAAACGAGGGTAAAACCTACCATATAAATGTACAAGGATCTTCCAGTGCTTAAACAGATAGCCAACATTGTTAATTAACAAATAAATACTTAACTAATATTTTTCTCACAGGCTATGCCATACATACTCCTACTAGGTATATTATCAAAGTTAAATCACAAAGGGTAACTTACTTATGTGGCAACGTTTTGCTACTAACTGGTAAGCTTTTACTACGATCAGATATATTTGAGTTGAAAGAGAGTTGTTCAGTATATAATATTTTTGCACTCTGTATATCAGTATTATTTAGAACTTTATAACGATCACGAATTAATTGCACCATTAATAATTCATTTATAGCTTTAACCCATGCATCTCTGATCGCAGGATCAGATGACTGAAAAATATAAGTGACTGCGCGTTTAGCAGTCCATATAGCAAACCGACGACGGTCCCCATGGAAATGAGGAGTCAAACCGATTTTGGAAAGCTAAACACACAAAAGGATATAAAACAAACAAATAAACATTAACCTTATAAATAAACCAGTTTTGTTATAAGAAGTCTGGTACTTGCAATAATCTTTAAACAATGTGTCCCATGAGATTGATCACGTAAATTTATACTTAGTTCTTTAGTTACGCTTACTTAAAATTATGAAGTGAACATGTTCGCTACGATAAACTGGAAAAAAGGACATAGAATCCAGTGACTACAGTTTTGAAAATAAGGTTATTTGTTTTACTTATTTATCTGATTGACAAATAAACGTGATAGGTAAAGTTTCAGAGTTTTAACCTAATAATTGAAGGTTTAATACGTAAACCAGTGAACGACAAGTGAACTTCGACAAAGTGTGAACCAACTGAGCTGTAATTTGTGATTTACAATTACCAATTCATTTTACACTGAATTCTACATAAGTAGAACGTCTACATTTGTTCGAAAAAAGCATTTCTAGACATTAGAAATCAAAAGTATGGAGAAATAACTTGAATTTTATGCCTGAATACTAGACGATAATTGCATTGACTTTTTAGTTAATTTCTCTAAACGCTCAGCACTAGTACGTTATTCAACCTCGAGTAAACAATATGGTAATACAACAAAAGGTTTTACTTCAAGGTTACAGTTAGAAAAGATAACATGATTAATCTGTGAAAGCACTATAAACAACCTTACGATCCAGTAAGTTTATGAATATGATATTAAAATTATTCGATTATTCTATCGAATTAACAAAGAACGTAGGAGCACAGTGAAGTGAGAAAATAGTTGTTTTGAAATTTATTGAAGATACTGGTTAGCAGAAAGTGATTTTATAAATTTTATGATATGAATTAAAAGAAAATTATGGATAATATCTAATCATACTAATAGGAATAAAAGCAATATATTACTAATGTGCTGACACTTACCTCTAATTCTTGTTTAATCTCATAATATGGACGATAAGTAAAAGTCGGAATATTAGTTGAAGTAAGATTATTACTACTGTTTCCACTGCTAGATGTAAGTGATTTAGTGAAAGCCAATAAATTGGATGTTGTACCTAATCCATTATTAGATTGATTGTATACTGAATAAGTATTTGTAGATTTTTCATACGAATCAATGGAATGATCTCGTGATATATTTGAAATCGCAGAATTTATCACTGTACTTGGATTAATCAAAACAGGAATAAACGAATTGGGTGAAGTACGATATTTAGTGAGTAATATAGCATTAGTAAATAAGAAAACATGACGTTGTTTGCTAGGCATAAATCGTACATCATCACGAGATATCGTAAAATCTCCTTGCAATAGAAATGGACCCAATGCAGATGGACGAACCTTTATGAAAAATATTTGTGAAAGGAATCAATATACAACTTTATAGCAGTTATTAAAAAATTTGAATGAATTTAGCTAATTTGTAGTTCTTAAAACAGCAATACAATGATACTGATGAAAACTACTGGAAATTAAGTTGAAGCATACATATACTGAATTTTAAACGAAAATTACATAAATAATAAAATATTGATGACATATTCATTCATCTACCAATCACTTAGCTATCATGTGAAATCTATCTATAATTGCCTATGATCAAGCATGTATCCAATTAGTATAGACAACAAATAGAAAAGCAGTGCTACTGAGTAAATTATGACTTATCTATCATCGTGTACATGAGAGCTCAATACACAGTGGAGGCGGTAATACTTTAAATTCCAATATTATACAATGAGATGCTTGTTAATTTGGGGTAAAATATGATCTATGTGTTAATATTTTTCTATCCAAAGCTTATAATAATGGTTATAATACCAACTATTTGTAGCTACAATTTGAATATTGAATATTTGGATAGGAGATACTTTTTATTTTTATTTTGTATTCTCTCAGTTGAATGAGTTAATAATGAACGATATTATAAAAATTTGTTTTAATAACCTTGGTTATTCTTGAATAGTTCATTATCTTTACGTACTTTGTTTAACTGACTATTTGTATTTGTGTATGAGTAAGTCCAAAATAATTATCTCAGAGATTTACTGCTTAATTAGCTTACTAACAATACCTACAACTCTTCAACATCATCCTAATACAGACATTATTTATCTGATAATTAGGAAATATTCATTAAATTTTTTTAAAAATTTACCGATAAACCACGAAGTTGCATAGCAATATTCACTGTTTCACATAATTCCAAAATAGCTTTATGGGCCGACTGTAGGTCACAGCTAAATAATTAACAAACAACATAATACAACTAATATAAATACTACAGAAAAAAAGTTAATATTTGGACTGGTTTTGATAAGAAAAAAGAAGGACTCATCGCCTGATTGTAACACAATACTGGGGTGATTAGTAATTATACAACACGACATGGTACGATAGTGTTTTGTTTAGATATTAGATATATGGAGTTGACTTGTAAGGTTACATTGACCTAAATTTAACGATTGTTAATACTTAGCATCACGACGTATCAACATATTTGAGGGAGCTACCTAGTCGACCTACAGTTGAGCTTATTGGATTAATCACAGAGATAAACAGAAGATTATTCAAGGTGCAATTAATGTTGATTTAATAATTTTGCAAAATCAGTGAAATTTAATAGCAAATGATTTGTTACTACTTGTCAAGGAAATCTACTTACATTGAACATATATACTTTCCTACTGAAAACAAACTGAAACCTGGAAGATTTTTCTTTAAGGGCATCATAGCTATTGGATTTTTAGGTTTAATTTCAGTAGGTAACATTTTTCTAACTACAATCAACAAGGCATACAACACAACTTGATATCCTGCTGTGTGATTTGATCCACTTCTTGCACATTAACTTGAATATCAGACTCGGGCCAGTCAATTGTAATAAGACACCATACCCCATGAAACAATGACAGTAATGAATTGTTAAGAATTCATGAAGATATTGACGAAAAGACGTGAATATTTACCAGAGCTATGTTAGTAGGACAGACTTTTGATAAATGCTTAGATTATATTTCATTATTCTACCTATGATGAGCACAATGAAATAACTTACAGAAACCCAGAAACTAAACTTTGCTTGAAATCTCTAAATACATCTGGCAGTGAATATGGAAGATGCAAGGGAAGAATAAACACTGCTGTGTTAATGATAAGCTAATGCAACTCAATAACACTATACACGTTTGTGTACTAAGCTTTGAATGACGCTGACCATATAGTAGAACTTGTTCATGTCACTACTGAAGTATACAATTAGTTTATATTTAAACAGCTTCATAATTACGAAGAAGCAAATAAAATAAACACGCCGAAATTCAAAGTAATATTTTTTACTTGAACTGATGAATCATGGAATCCAGAACACAGGCTTGAGTGGAGTCATAAAATACCCGTTACCTATCCGCCGTCTTATAATTGACAGATAAGATCGGAAGAGAAAATCTATGATCAAAAAACTCAGTGTTGCCTTATGTTATAACATTAATACAAAATAACTCGGTTTTAGTTAGTTTCATACCATCAATAAGTGGTCAGCTAACTATAGTATTTCCCAAAAAAATTATATAATCGAAAAATTACCGGTCAAGTTCATTTGTTTCATGTTGAACAAGTCTATCCAATAGTAAATGATATCGTTGAAAACGCTGTACAGGTGTCACAAGACGAGAACTAAACAATAATATGGGACGATTTAGTTCAGTAGGTGGGACAGAAGATTCGGAATCATTCATTTTTGTTATTGACATTTCTCTCCGATACACCTCTTCATTGCATGCAGTTAACCAGCTAGAATAAATGCGATCTTTTTCGAGGGCAGCACCGAGTTGAACTGCACAATCATGAAGCGAACAATAAATTGTGTATAAGTCTACCAGATATGGGACCTATAGATGGAAGGCAACAATAGAAATTTTTTACAGCCTTTCATTCCAAATCATTATTTACGTGGGAAAAAATGAAGAGGACTGGGATATGTCCAACAGAGTTCCTAAAATTGTAATGTTTAAACATTTCTCATGCATTACTGAACTTTAAACTAACCAATTGAGGGAACATATGAATTCTTTCTTTTAAATATCTCCATCCAAATATACCTTACAAAGATAGAATCATGGATAAAGCTGCACTGAATAGACTTTTTAGTATTTTACGGTTTCACATAAAAGTATGACATGTATTGATAAATAAAGTAATGTGCAATCGATGCAAATACTGAAATATTATCTTAATGACGTATAAACATATGCGAAAGGCAAAGGTTATGAAAAAATTATAAGACAAGTTTATTCATTGATTTGAAATTTTACACGAACTTATAGACTATCAAACATATCAAAGTGGATAGTAAGCGATTGAACCTAAACTAGTGTATATCTACTATAACATATATTGATTACAAGTTTACTTCAAAAATGCATCGATTTGGTTAGATAACATAGACTCTTTACAGTAGTCCGTTATAAACTAATCATTTACCGAATACAGGTGTATGTAGTTGGATTTGAACTACATAGGCTTATGTGAATGTTAGTGACAATATCCGATTGTCCAAACCAAAAAAGGTGCAACAATGTTCAAACAGGCAACACATTAGTTAAAGTTTTAGTCCTTCAGCAACTAAGCTAACACTCAATCAGAATATAGACAGGTTAGCACATAAATACTAGAGTACAATACGACAGGTAAAATCCACTATCAAACGAGCGGTATAGTAATTGACGTTAATCAATAAAAAAACTAAATATTTTCATTGATAAAACAAAGACACACAATCACTTGTAAGTTAACTGACAAAATAAAATATTAGTTAAGAATTAAGACAAGCATACCATGTGGGATGCCCAGTTTTTAATTTTTCCTGAATTTCCATCGCATGATATTAAATGCGGTAGTAATACGCTAGGTAAAAAGAGAAACGAGAAAAAGAAAAACGGGACTGTAAAAAAGACCGATTACTAACTCCAATCATTTTAAAACTGACGAAATATTAGTAAAAACATACAAAGAAGTTAATGTGTGACATATATCAACTACACTTAAATTTCTATGTTAAGTAGATATAATCTGCAAAACAACTATAATTTATTTTCTAACACAAACTAGTATGATAAAGACCAGTGTTTCCAAAGAATAAAATTCTTTAGTAAAAAGATATACGATCGATTTAAGCCATATATAGAAGACAATAAAAATGCTCTATCAAAAGGGTCAATACTAAAAAGCATAGAATCAAAAGGAATTCAGCAAAAGGAAACAATTTTTACAAGAAAAAATCAGGAATATACATCTCAGTGATGTTTTTATGTTTCAAACAGCCATCGTATATATGCCATAATTAGGTCGATTTCTATAGATTTTGCGTAATAATGTTAATCTATGCTGACATTTCAAATCTCTTCGTTCGAGATAGAATTATATTGTCTTAGTTTAATCGAAATCGCATAACAGTGAAATTTCAATTAGGTTTTTTTCATTTTGATATGAAGTATAACAGCGTGGGTTAATATTTACTAATATTGGATGGCCCTTGAAAACCCGTCGGAAATGCTTTACAATATTTTGTCATATGAATCTACAGGTCGCCATATTTGGAAGCTAAGTATAAAGGGATTATTATTCACTAACTGAAATTTAATGTTTTTATATGAAAAAAACACTACTTAGTATTATTGAGTCTTGTTGTACCTGTTGGAAAAATAGTTCTTCAGTCTTAATAATAATAAATAAATTATCACTAACTTTTGGTGAACATTACCACCATGACCTTTGCTATTCTTCAATTGGTTACTTTCTCTTTTACTTCGCAATCTTATCATGTCTCCAAAGTCGTTGCTCATATACAACTGTTGTAACGTATATTTGAGTTATTATGGAAAAATTAAAGCTCTGCCTACGACCTGTCTTCTCTAATGCTCAATCACATATGCATTATTAAAGATCACATGCTATATATAACTCTTCCGATTTTTAAAAAGGGTTTACGTCATCCCTGTAACAACTATCGGGGGATAAGTCTACTTCCGATTGCGTCCAAGCTATTGGCTTCCGTCACACTTCGTAGGTTGTTCAAAACCCGAGAAACATTGACTCGCGAGGAGCAGGCTGAGTTTCGTTCTGGTCGAGGATGTATTGATCATATCTTCACCCTCCGCCAAATGTTAGAACACCGCCATACTTATCAAAGGCCAACAATCGTAGTGTTTCTTGACATCACAGCTGCCTTCGATTCGTTGGACAGGACTGTTCTCTGGGATTGTCTATTGAAGAAGGGTGAGCCTGAGAAGTTTATTAACATCCTAAAAGCCCAATATAAAAACACCTCAGGCAGAGTGAGGGCATACAACCACCTCTCCCCATTGTTCCATTCGAGCAGTGGTGTTAGGCAGGGTTGCCCAGTCTCACCATTCCTCTTCAACTTTGCCACCGATGACATTCTGGAAACAGTTCTGATAGATGTAAGTAATGGCAGTGTGGATCTGTTGCCTGGAGAAGTTCTCGACATTGACTATGTGGATGATATTGTCTTACTGTGCGATAATGCCCAAGCAATACAATCCGCACTTAATCAGTTGGCAACCAGTGTCCGTAGGTATGGTATGTGCTTTGCACCTTCGAAGTGCAATGTACTTCTACAAGACTGACAGGATTCCAATCCTGTACTCACACTGGATGGTGAGCAGATAGAAGTAGTCGAGAAGTTCGTGTATCTGGGTAGCTGCATAAGTGCTGGTGGTGACGTGAGTGATGAGATTAATGCACGTATAGTGAAAGCCAGAGCGGCTCATGCCAATCTGGGCCATCTTTGGCGCCTTCGTGATGTCAGTCTGGCTGTAAAAGGTCGGATCTACAACGCGTCGGAGAGAGCAGTTTTGCTCTATGCTTGTGAAACCTGGCCTCTCCGAGTTGAGGATGTTAGACGACTCTCTGTGTTCGATCATCGTTGTTTCTGAAGGATTGCTGACATCCAGTGGCAACACCATGTCAGTAATGCATAGGTTCGACATCGTATGTTCGAGCACAGAGACGATAATGCAATTGGTGTCATCATCTTAAAACACCGACTTCAGTGGCTTGGACATGTTCTTCGAATGTCGTCCCAGATAATTCTACGTCGTGCATCATTTCTCGACTCTGGGACTGGTTGGGAGAAGCGGAGAGGTGGGCAGTATATGACATAGTGTCGTGGTATGAAAGAAAGCTGCAAAGGGCTGGCTTGTGTCGGTCTTTCACGACTCCCTGTCTGGGGTCAGAGGAATGGTGCAACACAGTGGCTAGAGACGTTGTCAGGTATGGATAAGAACAGAAGCCAGTGGCGATCCTGCTGTAACCCTCTTTCACTTTCTTCATAAAAAGTGGTTGTAACTTCCTTAACTGAAAGATTTCTCCCGATTGTACCTTTTCGTTTCCCCCATCATTAGTATTACTATTATTTTTATTACTATTACACTACCTTACACTTAGCTGTGGTCGTCATTGCTTTGTTTTTTTTTCTTATACGCACTTTACCTTCTTTTCCTCTTCCCATTCTCATTGTTTTGTGTGGCGCATATATATCTGGTGCCCCCTTATACCAATATTTATGTGTTCAAATAATAATAAAATAAATACTAGTTCGCGCAGATTCCGTTTTAAATTAGAAGTCCTTTTTTATCGGTTCACAAGATAAATCCAGTAGGTTTAATCAATTTCAGAATAAAAAGTTTGATAAAATTTAACAACCACCTGATTGATTTCATCGAGTTATCTTTCGTCAATTAATTATTAAATAATAATAAAATGACAGGAAAGTCGACAATAAAATCCAGTACACAAAGAAAGAAAAAAGCCCATTGATGTATTTAATAAGTGAAACTCTCAGTTCCCTATCAAAACGCGCTTAGATTTTAACACCAAATTCAGCCAGTCATTAACAACGTAGATTTCGACATATGTGGATCGGCTCGAGTAGTCGTTCCACATGAGCAAGACGAGATCAAAATGAGTTGCAAAAGAGATCAAAATGACATGGTATGAATAACAATAATCTTAAAAATAAGCATTGAGAATATAATTCAATCGACAACCACTGGCAGCCTACTTAAGTATACGGGCTACCTGTTCACGCCATCTAGATATTTCAACAGGATATATGTTTCTTTCTGTTCTAACACATCGCTATGTCTACTAATTGCAGGTGCGTCTACGAAAACTTTACGATATTTCGCCATACGAGTTACAAAAAAGTACTATTAGAGACATCATGGTGGCTGTCAATATGCATTGAAAAGAATGAACACTATCCACATGTCGACTCCTGAACTGCTAATATCTAACTGGAGATCACTAATTGGCAACGTGGAGTACATTCAATTCCCACTAAGTCTAAACATGTATCACAATCCAAGAATCCTGGTTAAATGATTCACAAGAAGATTGCTTAGTATCACAGCAAGGTTTCAATATTCATCGTCAGGACCGATCAATAAATAAGGAAAGGAGACTTGTCAAAATACATTGTGCTGAGAATTCTATATTGTACCAAAAATATAATACTGAATAAAGCCAATAATAATAATAATGAAAGGAATGAATGAAGGAATATTGGGAGTCGATATAGGGAGAAAGATAGGGAGTAAATGCACCTGGACCGCTGTGGACGATTCTGAGCTGAGTTACACAACATCTCTAATCACTGATCTTACTTATCACATGAACCCCAACCCGTCAGTCTGCATCTACACGCCTTTTAGTTGATAGGTGAACATCTTATCTACACTACAAGTGATAAAAGTTAGTAATGGTCAATTGAATGCATGGCAAGCCCTTGTCCGACATCGAACCGCCAAGTTAGTCCGTGAAAAGGAAATATCTGTCATGAATATTTCAAAAACTCTCTTTGATACAATAAGTATGCAAAATAGGATATTGAAAATATAACGGTACAAATAATTGCTTTTAATTATAAATGACAAGTAAAAGCAGGTAACAGATAATCACATTGTGAAAAAAGCTCTTTTTTAATAATAATAAAAAGCTAAACCAATCCTTACTCTCTGTGGAAACGTAATAATTCCGGCCAATTACACAAAAGACGATTTTGATTATCACGCATAAATGTTGGCTGTGGATGCGAACGAGTCCCCAGTTCGTCATTATTAGCATTATCAATAGAATTTAACCATACTACCTAAAAAGCAAATAATATATACAGAAAATGCATAGAATTCAACAAATATTCATATTTTAGCCTGTTTAACTGAAAGTCTAAATTAATTAATTTAAAATCACAATGGAATATTTTGGACACTACACTTATTATGATCATGGTCAAGTAAACTTTAAAAAGCAAAATCAAAACATTTTTGCCAAATAGCATATCACCTGACGGAAAATTGATAAGAGTATGATGCAATGATGAACTTGGGGGATTTATCAGCCAATCAGGGAACAATGCATAATTGCAAAAACATAAACAATAGAAACCAATAAAAAAACAGTAGAATAACAGCTACGATCTGAATAACTAACCTTTACATGCAAAATTATTCTTTCTGGTAGAGGAAAGAGATCACATTTACATATGAGGAGTTACGAAAGTATTCTGAATAAGGGTTATCATTTCATAGAGTTTTCGTTACTAACTGACATCGATTATAGAACAGGAAGGTTGGGTTAAGTATTAAGAATAAGGTTGAAGTTTTGAGTCAGGCTTAAAAATTAAGGTTTCCGTTTTCGAAAAGTACTGACATTAGTTATAATTCAGTGCTTTACCACTTAGGGTCGAGATTTAGAGGAAGGGGTAGAAAGGACGAACGCTACATAGCTTCACAAAATACTCTTGACTACTCATCGAATCACATTAAGCACTGTGCCCCCAAATGCCCTGGTACGGCCGAGAGTGGGGAGAGTCCGCTCTCCCTCTCCAAATGCTCTCACACGGCCACGCGTATATAGCCTCTGCCAGAAAAGTAATACTCATTGCCTTCTCGTGGCGGGGGTGTTGTTTACGAAAATGAGAGGACGAAAAGCGAATGTCCGGCGCTTTAACCGGATCACAAACCTGTGGTGCACATGGGCTCCAGTATCCTGCGGGAACAAATGGCGTATGAACCAATTGTTGGCCACCAGCCTCCATGGGACTGCATCTCCTTACGACGCTCCACTGCCTTGTGGAACAGACCTTCAGGTCGAAGGCTTGGAGAGTGGCCCCCTAAGAAAACCACCTGCTTCGGTTTGGGTACCCGGGCAGTATCACAGCCCTCAAACATACCGAATGAGATTTGTCTGGCGCATATGTATTTGGTGCATCTTTGTACCAATATCTGTTTTGAAATAATAATTAAGCACTGTAACAAACAATCTGCCTTATTTCTATTGATTCCGAGCATTTTAAGAATCAATCATTAACAGTTTTCATCTAGTTGATAATGATATACAAGTAATCTATCACTGCGCTTCATACTTTGCGTAAAATGCACGAGGGTTTATCTTAATCCCGATTGGTCATTTCAAGGTTGTCAGTACACTATACTTTTAGCGAAAAATTTACTCATTAGATATTTTGCTTAAAAAATTGGATGAAGTTTGAATAAATTCTGTATACAAATATCCTATAAGTACAGATACACTGGTAATTTTTAATTTTCATCAAATAGACAGTTCAAAAATTGATTTATTGATTATTGTCACTATTATTCAAACTATACTGCATATTTTCAGTACAGGGTTGCGGATACTATTGAATTTTATTAAAAATAATGAATCATCGTTAAAAACCCTGAAGCACTAAACGGCCGTTTAATTCTAGTACGGGACTCCTCAGCAGTACGCATCCATGGTATATCTTTGTGCTACTCGGCAAGTAAACTGAATAAGCTGGAGTAATGTTCGGAAATAAGACCTAACTTTCAAAACCGAAATATTTTAACTGAAAATCCATCACTATCGTGATTCTCTTGACTACTACTTACAAGAAGTGGAAGATTCCGATAAGTATTCACTTTATCAAAACACATACAGCACTAATAACTACAACGACAGCATTACGAACAACAATCAATGGAATACGTCTGTAAGAAGTACTAAAAAAAGACTTATCAACACTTTTACCATTGTATGTTTGAATAAGTTTTGATCATTTTATTAGTGAACAGTTGAATTCTTGCACATCAGCCCAATATGTACAAGGTATGTACTTACCCTATACATAAACATAAACACGTACACGCTGAAAAACAACTATGCAGGAAACTTGTTATTTCATCTAAAAATCAATTAGTACGATTATTGAACATTGACAACTGTTTACAACGTTATTTTCATAACAAAAAAGGCAAGCAGATCTTAGTTCTTGTTGGATTCCACCCAAATATTATAATCACTGATATAAATATTTTGAAAACAAAAAGCAGATTACACAACTATCGATGATTGCGTGTCGTCTGAAATCGACTCAATCAGAGAAATAAGTTATAGATAAAAAAAATAAATGATTCCTTATGATCAACTAAAACTATTCACAGAAAGACAGGAAAATCAAACAAGCCCTACACAAACAAATACAATTAACAATAATGTTTTCATGTATTTTTATTACTAAACAAAACTTCAGTAAGTCAAATTACAGCGAACAAACACTGTGAAGGTTAACTAGTAAAGACAAAAACTGATCAACAACTGAAAAACCAAACCTAACACCATTAGCTAGTAGTATATAAACACCGATATATATATTTTTTTATATATTTATATAAACATGTCATGTCAAGCTGAATTTGAACTACAGATACATACAAATAGACACACAAAAATATAACGTCGTCTATAGGACTGAAAGTAATGTTGGAACAAGACGAAATCAGTGGACCACTTGACAAATTATTAGCTTACCCATCTGAATATCAATGATAAAAGTACAAAGGGGAGAGAGATAAGGTGAATTGTGTAAGACTAGTTTGTATATCACTATTTGTTTGAAAACAAAGATGGATAAACTATGTTTGGATGACAATGTGATGTATTGGACGAAAATTAATTTTGTGATCAAAAAGTACAAATGGTTTCACAAGAATGAAATAAGACCGCCAGAAACGTTCATAATGAAAAATAGTATTTACATCACGGTGATTCTGGTACATTTTTTAGATCAAAAAATTTCTCATCCCGTTTTGTTCAATAAAATGAACAGTTTTGCAAAGGAAGCTATCGGCTATTATTTTTCGAAGAGTATTATTAAAAGTAATGATTTCCTCAACATTCAACTCTTCTCCTAGCTGTGAACTGTTATGGATGCAGAATAACATACCAATCATTATCATGTTAAGTCTAATGATGTCCTTGGACTCTAAATGGGCATTCCCTATTGGTTATTATTTATTTCATTCGTTAAATATTGTACAGATGTTGTTTTCTATTTTTATGGTACGATGTGGTATGTTTGGTTGGTATATAAATAGAGTATGTCTGGAATACAATGATTCATAACTCAGAGGCTGTGACTTGCGTTCTGGACTCAACTGGCTGGGCTAGACAGGGAAGCGGGACCAATCAGGGCACTAGGTCGTCCACTACGTGTTTTCAGTGTCACTGTAATCGATCGATATAAACGCTGCTTATCAAAACCTACAACGTTAACAATTTACTTGGCACTAGCTACATGATCTACAATTACTAATTGATGAATGTAAGCTGATCAATTCTGTAATATTGCTTTCTGAGAGGTTTACTGACATAGATGAAATCAGCAGGATGTCTAATATGCGACACAAGGTGTCCCTACAAACCAGAAACGAGAATTTATTTCTCACTCAAACTATGGCCTTAGATATGGATCTAATGGCCATACCAATCTCCGTACTCTTTATTCGTCATTTAATTTCAGTACTACTTTCACGATTTCTGTAATTCTTCAACAGCTCAACCAATAACTGGAGTCTGCTTGGAATTGTCATGGACAAATTAAATAAACCTTTTACATTATCTTATAACAGTGATTTATTCACATGTTTAAACACATATAACGACTATTACAAGCTCAAACGATATGTTAAAATAATTAGTTGAAATGCTGAAAAGAAAATCAGTTCTCTCCTCTTGTATTAAGAATTTTATTAGCTTTCAGGCACAAAAATCATTATTGTAATTACAAATCCGTGTCTTGTTCGAAAGTTTTCTTTCATTTTACTTCTAATGATATACATAGCCTTTCTCTCATCACAATTACTGCCGGTTTCAATCGAAATAAGGACACAAACTCAATATCTAGAAACTGTCTCGGCCATGCACTATAGTATGGAAAAATACACCCTCTTCATCTTCGTCTATATTAACATCAATTAGCGGTCAAGCGCCATAACATATCCTCACTTATATCAATGCACGTGGACAACTGTGGATACACATTCAACTGGAAATATGTGGAGATCTTGGTAGAGGCAATACAAAAACACCAGAGAATTTTTTCGGGCGGCTTGTCACTCGGATCAATCAGCAATCAACAAGCACATTGGAATCGATCCAATTTATCAACCAATCAGAAAAATTATGGAAAGACATACTACAGAAAACCAAGCCAATGGGAGATACAACCAAAATAAATAAGTAAACAATGACAGGTTTAAGGTCAACAAGAGCCAATCAACATCGAGGTTCACAGGACAAGCTGTGAACCACATGTGCAGAAATTTGAACACTTCACTTCTACCTAAAGTTTGTGCTGATGATGTCGTTCAGAAGAACGATGAAAGCTCCGCGACCAAAACATCCAGCTCAGATAACAAAACTTCAACAAAATCATCCACCTGAGCTACGAATCTCCACCATATGGAAAAATACAAATTTTCAACTTTCAAATGAAAACGGTCTAACACTAAGATAAGAAAGAAAGGATTCATATTTGATAAGGTTTTGTTCTTAAACACATGAATATTTCAACTACAAGCATTTCTTAAACTTATCTATTAATCAGTTAAAAATTAAAAAATGAACTATTTATTTTCATCTGAAAATCAATAAACTAAGGTTGAATTTTTAAAATAAACAATACAATTTATCTTATGAAAATATATCGGTAGAAAATGTTTACATTTACTATTCCTATACAATGAGAGAAAGTAAACAATGGAAGTTAATTGACAAGTTTCTCTTTTAAAAATGATATATCAAGCTAATAAGTTAGAAAACTATTTGCAGACTGTGGTATTTTTTGTATCTTTGATACACACAACAATGGTGTCAAATCTCTTAGATACAGTTAGTAGACTACAAAGATAATAATCAATAATTAAATAACTCAAATCTTATTGTCAATTTTATATACGTCAGAACGAACCTTCACTGTTTAAGCACAGAACACACTACACATAAACAATCACTACAACAGGCTTTTTTTCCTGAAGTCTATGTGAAGTACGTGTACCGCGTGAGGAAAGCTAAAATTAATCAGTTGTAAGAAATGCAATGAAGAATTACCAGCAATAAACAAGAGGTTTATAACCGTATCACTTAATAGTAGTTTGATAATACATTGGAACATACTGAACTTACATCATAAACATGTTGTAGAAAATTTACATAAGATTTTTCTGTATCTACCAGTTCTTTCCATGCTAATTGATATCGTTTACCTGGAGTTGATAATGAAGTTGGAGATTCTAACTGTGATAGCTGATATGAAGTTGAGTTTGAGCCTTGAATGGAATTGGATACTTTGTTATTGTGGTTGTTAAGACCCTACATTTAATAAAAGCAGAAAACTTTAATTAGCATAGCAAGAATAAGATTCCCCTAACAAAATATAAAATCGTACGACGTTATAAATGAGTAGAATTTCCAGTCCCGTTCAGTGTAGATACAGTAAGTTAGTTTGCTTGATCTGTTATTAAAAATTCATGACGTTAAAACGTAAACCGTAGATTGATAGAAGTGACATAAACACTGCAGAAATGTAGGCTTCTGAATAGTTACCTCAAAGGAGAAGTAACTTAATCATTAAAACACTCAGCCTATGACGACTGCGTTGAAGGTTCAAACAATGGTTACGCTTACTTGAAGTGATATCACTACCTGTTACATAAAATGAGTGACTTAAAGTCGGATATAAATATGAAGCATTATTTGGTGAGTTGATGGTTTATAAATTTCAGCAAATTAACAACACTCACAGAAGTATGCTATTTATTTATAAAACAACAATTCAAATCGGAAAATTTATCATACAAAACCATCTATGTTGAATGATCAATACATGTGTGATTTTAAAAACCACTATTTGATTAATTTTTCATTAATTCATGAATAAAAAGTTTGAAAATATTGTTCAAATCTAAGATCTATGGGAAAGTAGTCAGAGTATATAGAATTAGAAATAAAAACTTACTTCTGAAGATGATGATGCTGATTCAATAGCTTCTTGAATGGGTGAATTTGTCCCAGGACTAGTCAAAGTACTACCACTGCTATTAGTACTACTATTAAAAGATTTAGAGTTGGGATGATTTCTTGGGAAACTTGTTCGTGAAATGTGTTGACGAATTGAAGCAATAGCAAGATTACAATTTTGTGCTAAATCTTCTACTTGTTTTAATAATTTACTTAAATGACTCTACAGATTAAAAATAAAAACAACACATCGGTGCATAGAAGGATATCAATTGAAAACACTAGAATAAAACAATCATAATTAGAAAAATCTTCAATTGCGGAATCAGTGTATCATAAAGAGATATAAAATTAGATTCACAATGAGGATTAGAAATCACATTATTACTATTCCCAGACCAATATGTGTATACAATATAGCCTTACAGGGGAATAGATTATTACTGAAGCAGTTTTACTGGCAATGTTTGACACTGTGGAACTACAGAGTATGTACAGATAGACCTTTGATTAAGTTTTTTGTATTAAAACAACGGTAATAAGTGAGGGGTTGAATTAGTGGTTAAAGAATCCCGATTACAACCAGTTGCTCGTAGATTCAAACCCTATTCCCCAAACTCCGATTTGGACAACTGGGTAGTATCATCAGACTGCATAGAAAAATGTGACCCAAAAGCTGGTTAATAAACTTATAATTAGCAAGTGAATCACATTCATGGTGATAACATAGTTGAGAAGTTAAAAATAAGGGATAAAAAGTATGAGAATCAGCATTATGGTGATGAATTCTGAGCTATATTGCATTATCTTAAACCATCGACTTCTAACATCTCAAGGGCTCAAGCCTTGAACTACAGTTTTCATCGATGCTAAAAGCTGACAGCACGGAACCAAAGTCCTATCAAGATACTATGCCATAAATATGAATCTTCAAGCATTACGAAATGATAATAGAGAAAAGACTATTCCAACCAAAAAAGCACTCGACTTTCTTGGTATTAGTAGATAAGTTTATTTCATGAAATATACGAGGTTTACAGAATGATACATGTTTCAAAAACAAATAATTCTCTTTTTTGAATTATTCTATGGGGATTTTTAAAGTGATACATGTTTTGTTTGTAGAGATCACCGTCATATGAATTTCATTTCAATTATTTATCATCTATTTAAAACTAGAAATATTTTAATTTAAAGAATGAATATGATAGAAAAGAGAATTTGTAGCAATGTTTCACGATAATAATTAAGCAAAACCCACCTTCAAATCAGCGTCTAATAATCCAACTAATCGTGAATGAAACAGTTTAGGATTTCGAAGTAACTCTAATCTACTCTGACGTGAAGAAGTAAATGTAATCAATTCATCCATACGTGACCGACATTCCACTAAATTCATTGTAGTGAGCTTATTCGGTGGTGTTACTATCTTCAATAAATGATGACCTTCTTTAATCCATGAAGCAGCCTATAAGGAATAAAGATTAGAGTAAATCTTTGAAAAGTCTAAAAAATAGAAAATGTTAAAACGCTATAAAACCGAACAAAATAGCTACATTAAGTAGTCGAAGAAAAATTTCAATCACAGCCACATATATTATTTATAAGGAACGTAAATATGATCCTTTATATACAAACCACATCTTTTTCTGTTATTAGGAATTATAATATATATATAGCCATTGTATGCATAATTTAGGTAGGTAATTGAGAAGACTGAGTAAAAAGACAAGAAACATGAAAGAACAATAACAATGTTGTAAATATAAAAAGTGACACTACTCACATTATCAATTTCTGTGTACAGTTGTAGCAAACGATTAATTTGATCAGCTGCTTTTGGTAAATCTATACTAGCTAAATCAATCATATTTTTAAATAACAAAGACCATTCTTTTACATTTGAAGGAAATTTGATAGGAAGAAAATATTGTTGCATGGATTCATCAGTTTTTTCATTAGAACTATGATTAAATTCTTTAGACATAACAAGATTAGATGATTCATCTTCCTCTCCAGAATATAGAGATAAGCAACTGGTATTTAGGTTAACATCATTTTGTTGATTACTTCCATTTAATTTTATTGGCAAATCTGGACAAATAATATTTGAGACTAAATTTGCACTGACCAATCGATTTACATCACAACAGAGAAATGAAGCTGAAAAAGAATATCTAATCAATTATCATTTAAGACTAAAACGAATTCACTCGATTTACTTAACAATAGATGAATATACAAAATAATAATCATACTAGGAGTCACTTTTATTACATGACAACGAGAAGTATTAATACTACCGATTATACTACAGTAAGTGAAGTGATCCGATCAGTTGATTTATTAATGATTAGGTATATGTATATATCATTTATTAATAGCGATACTGTATGGTTTCAAAACCAAATTAAATGAAACTGAATTAGAACATGTAGTTCACTGATCAAAAATTAAATGGTTTAACCACTAACTAACTGTTCAAATGGAAGTCTAAAAAAGTATATCAAAAATGAAAATCAATGAATAGATAGTGGCAGCTTTGAAATCATTACCAGATGAACTATATTCCTTTAAAGTCTGAAAGATGGTCCATTTAGATTGAATATCTCAATATTCCAAAGGTCGACCATTTCATAAGAATGCTTAAAATAAACAACTGCTTTCAAGATCAGATGGGACTGAGCCTTACAATAGTTTGTCGAACATACAATAAAAAATTTGAATATTTTGCGTTCATAAAAATCAAAAAGATGAACATATATACAGGATAAATTAAATAATATCGAGATTTACTCAAAAAGTCAAATTCCATTAATCAGAGATGAAGAAGACCACATTTTGGAAAAAAAACCTTTTGAACTGAATTCAGAAAAAAAGCAATGTTACACCATGAATATAAAAGCTAATAAAAGCAGAGTAATAATAATCTACAGGTTAAACTACCATATTTAAGTAATAATGACATAATATTGAAATATTGTGTAAGAAACTAAACAAAAATACTCATCTGACATAGGAGAAACTCTCACGGAACACAATCGATTTACATTGTCGCATGTTCGATGAGAAGGAAAGAATATCAACGAACTGAAAAGTATTCAAAAATGAATTAAAAAGAAACTAGTACGTAAATTGTAAAAATGAATTTCAAGATTCAGAGGAGTGCACAGAGAATGAGTGCATTTCGTATCAGTGACTCAGATCATCAATAATTTCCAACAACATAACAGTTGAATATAGCCAAAACAACATGGATTTATCACATTTCATGGTTTCCCATCTGTCGCTTACAACCATATATGTATTAAAATGTAACATTGAGTTATGATATAATGTACATCAATTGACATTGATGACGGAAAGAATTAGAACAACAAAGTTTATCAATAGTAACTGTAAATAGATATCCGTGTAATAACAGTTGTGTGAGGTCATTTGGAGATGGAGTCCTAAAAGCATAGGAGGGTGGGTGAGACAGTAATCAAATGAAGTCCGGAGGCAGATAATACAGATTGTGTGCCAAGTATACAATTTGTGAAGAATTTACGTAAAATTCAAATCACCAAAATAGATATAGAAGATTTGAAGCGTTGAGATGATAATTGTATAGAATTAGGAATCGATAAGGTGGGTTGTGTAATAATTAAACAGGATTTAAAGAGGCTTACATAAGTTTAGAGAATTAAGTGAATGAAAAAACTAACGAACTAAGGGGTGATTTCGGTGTAAAATAAGAATTAGTTTGATGAAGACCACATAACAAAGTAAACACTAATAAAATAATAATGATACCAATGGGAAATAACGATCTACTAGGGTAGTGATAAGTCGATTACTATCTCTTTCTGGATACATAATTTAAATTTGAGTATCTTTATTGCCACTACTTCGGTAAACCGAAGAGACGCTGTGTTTTTATGTCTGCTGATAATTTTGAAGGGTTGAGGAATATCAAAGGTATTCCCGGTATCAATCAAATGCGGAGTTATTGCACTATATGGAGTTTTTGCACCTCTCAGTCTCAAGTTGTTCGGAACGTTCTCAGAAGTGCGAACATGTACTCTTCTCTTTTTTCTTCTAATCTATGTGTTTTGGCACGTACATGTAGATTGGTAAATGCAGCTGGAGGTACTGAGAAAAGATGACTTGTCAATTTTTATTTGTTTGAGCGAACAGTTAGTTTCGCACAACGTCGTCAATCTTGCTAATGAATACGCAATCTTCATCGCGACATTTATTCTGTATTTAATTATCCCAGTGATTTCATCTTTGAAGCGTGAATGCAAGAAGCAGGTTTTCTTATCAACTGTATCGTTATCAACATGTAGGTTGGTTTTTGCATATTTCTCTATACATTTCGCTGAATGTGCATTTTCACGTAAGCAATTTGTGATGAAGATGAGTTCTTCTTCCAAGCTTTCGTTCAGGAAAAGTTTACGAGCGCAGTCAAAAAGGGGTTCGTACAACCCCGTTTTTGTAAATTATTAGAGAGAAGCTGTTTAATTTAGATAAACTCCACTCCATGCATTTTTGCGGTAGTTGTGCAGCTTTTGAAGTTTGTTCGATTCTAGCATCTAAGAAATGGGATTTACCTTCTACTTCATGTTTCATAGTAAAGTCTCTGTCGTTGTGTGCTTTGTTAAACAGACTAAGCGAGTACACAGAAAACTTCTAATTGTTAAAAACAAGAAATGTGTCATTAATATATCTACGATAGAGTATAGTTCCTTCGACTGAGTGTGCTTAAGCTTCTTCTGTTCCAGGTTTCCTCATAAGCATATCAGTCAAAATTGGACTCACGGCAACTCCATCAATCCGGAAGTACAACACACTATTGAAGTGGAATTGAATATTTTTGGTACACATAAACAAGAGCTGTTTGAATTCATTGGTTAGGGAAGGAAGGAGTTGAGGATAATGACATATAATTTCAGCCGTTTCCCCCAGAATTGATGAGACGTCGAAAGATACCATAAATTTGTCGGAAACATTTAAGCCATCAAGCTTTTGTACAAATTCGAAACTATCCTTCAGACTGTAGAAGGCTATTTTCTGGCGGATTGGTTCTAAACACCACGTCAACTAGCAGGCGAGATTGTGAAAAGGCGATTTGGTTATCGATAATATTGGCCTCAATGTAATGTTTGACTTGTGCATTTTAGGTAAGCAGTACAAGGTAATTGAGATTTTTCGGCTTCAATTTGTTGTACGTAGGATTATTGAGCACTGTCGATGATGAATCTCGTGGAATCATTTGAAAAAATTATTTTGCTTATGTATTCGTCTCTGCTTACTTAACGTTGTTGCATTTTTGTCAACTCAATATTTATCATCTAGAAAAACCCACAGAAAAAAGTACGAAACTTTGACCTAGTGATTAATCCACTTGACTACTGACCACTAGGTTTTAAATTCAAATCCCTCCTTCAAAGTAATATCAGTTATACGCAGGCAGAGTTTGGTTACCAAATTGAAATACGAAAAAGACCACATGATATAAGATTCGACGAACATATTTACACAGAACATGCAATAACAAATACTTAAATGCTAAATGCAATTAACTACCTTGATGATTGTCTTTCTCATCAGAATTGTTCAGTAACACTCCTTCTTTTTCTTCCACGTTATCAATTATAAATAAAGCGAAATTGCTTGCAATCTTATCTAATTCTTTTAATCTTGCTAATAGTCGATTACCAGTGGCTTCCGCTTCCAATATACGACAAGATAGTAATTCTAAACTTTCCAATATTGTTTTACTTAACGATGTATCCGTTTCATCATCATCATTTTTCAATGCAGAAAGTATAATGAAATGTGAAGGGGAACATGTTGAATTATTACTATTATGAATGCAACTGTTCTCCTTATCATCTTTTAATGATTGATTATGATAATGTTGATGTGCTGGAGATAAAGTGGAGGAGCTGGACATTTTAACAGGCAAATAATCAACTAGAGATTCAATTAGATTATTCCATGTACTGGCAAGATTAGTAAACTATGAAAAGAATTTTTGAAAAGATAAAAATAAGAATGAGATTCTACGCATATTGAAATACTATCAATACGAAAAATAGAAGTTATTCTCAATTAAACCATTATACTGAAATCACTTTACGATTTATCAAAAAATCTCTGGTCTCATAACCAACAAGTAGTGATAACTGACCAGTTAAAACCATGATTTACTAGTTGAAAGATTCAATGCTCGATAGCTGGATCAAGAGATTTGAACTTCATTACTAACAGACATGAGGTGTAGATTTTGCCATCACCTACCTCAGCTTACTACACTGACCAACATAGGTTGTAAAAGAATTAGATTGCAAAAGGATCAATAAGTAGCATCAGTTTAAGAAATCATTATTTGTTGATCTGAGCCTTATCGAAAAGTGAACACTTCCTAACTGGAGTTAATGAATGAGAACTTTGAAGGGAATCGCCCAAAATTTGTTACTGCAATGGGTTTATTTTTCATCTGTCGAATTCATAGCGTAACCTTAAACTTTCGTTCCCAGATTTAACTTGTTGTTCATGGAGTATATTATGTATACTTAGATTTATATTAGCATTGATTTGGGTTTCAAAAGTGGTAAGTTAGTAAAACTGTACGAAGATTTTCACATACATTAAAACCAAACATATTACTAACAGATGCACACTTTACAACATTGATTATAAGTTATCTCCGCACAACTCTCAGTATAGGTCAATTACGGCAACAACACTTCTCATGGTAGTCTGATCCCAGTTTAGTTACAAAAAATAATACACAGAAAACATGTTTTCTCAGCTTGTAATAATTCCGAAATTATCCATACTGTACTAAAATAATCTCATTTATAATTTTTGGTAGTGCTACAAAACTTAGGTTTGAAAGCAGGTACAACCATCATATGACTTCAGAATAACTTTAAAATAACCTTTACAACCCGCATTTGTATGACTCATCTTGTTTTGATTTTTTTAAAGTATTTCCGATCTGCATTTTACAAATATACCTTTGACATAGATTCTGACAAAAACAAACCAATGCAACTTAAAAGTTTAAGATTAGTTAATGAGATTGTAAATCGGATACAGATGAAGTGGTTAAAACATGTGTTGCGTGCACTTAGTGATATGTAATGATGCATCTTCCGGGTGGTCATAATAGGATTATAAAATTCTAATATGGTAAAAATAAAACTTGTCACAAATTCGTTAGGTCACTGGTTATTGGTTGGAGTTATGTGAAATAAGTAGCATATATTACCGAACTTCGTCTTATGACAATGAGATCATTATTAGCCATTAGGGAGTTGATGAGACACTCAAAAAAAGAATACCAGATTGTTAATGTGTTTATAGGTATCAATGCCAAGGTTGGACTTGATAATTTCGAATAAAATAATAAACATATTTTTGTTATATCCTAATGCGTAGAAAAATTGTATTTCTGAAGTGGCTTATATTAGATCACAAAACGTCAGAAATGCGATTTTCCTATTCATTGGGATATAACAAAAATATATTTATCATTAAGAGTACCAGAGTTGTTTATACACACCACAGTTAGCAGATCCACAATGAATTGTACTTCTTTAATTGATTTACTGTCCATAATAAACTAATTTCAAATTATATATTATATAGATATTTCATGATGATTTTAAATAAACACTGATTATTCAAAGTTCTCAGTGGTATTGAAGGGATACTAGACGAGAAATATCTTCGTCTCTATTTTGAACATCTTACTATTCTATATTTAGGTATAATTCATTCAATCATAACCTTTGAGTTAATTCTAATACGCTTTCCCCACTTTTTTGTAATTTTCTTGTCTGTACATTAAGATTTAGGTTTATAATATCAGTAATAAAGTTTTTACAAATGGGAGCTGCGGATTACTGGTCAAAGGACTCGATTAATGGGTCACCGACTTAAATTCGACCATACATATCAAAGTTTTGACAACCAGGTCGAATCATTTATAGTTACATGGAGAATTTAGTCCATAGACTAGTACACTAACCTGTATGTGTTTAGAGATATATGTTATTTTATCTTACTTATTTGATTACTTTCGAGCTAACGAAGAAAGTTTTGAATAACAACGTGTACAAAAATGTATTTATTTAGAAGTTATGTTGAAAATGAATAGTCTTATGGAGATAAGGTGAATTCGAACCAATCAACTGGCAAAGCTTTAAATAGTTTCGCACTAAAATAAGTACTTAACAAATGAATAACATTACTGAAGGCTTTGTGCCAAAAAGGAGTTAAATGAGAGGTTGAATAGAGCTATTATCTGAGCAAAGGCTTTGTTAAGTAAGGTTTGTCAGATATATCCATTTTAATTTCTATTTGCAAATGTACTTCTAAATAACCTCATTTCAATAACAGGTTTTTCAGAGAACCGTGATTCAACTACAGATTTTGTGTTTAGGTATATTGGTCGTAATTGTACTATTTAACGAAGATTCAAACAAAACACGCTTTCACTGTCCTGGATAAAATGGTTAAAATGAATAATGTACACATCTTCAAAGTGGAAATACAAAATGTAGAGTTTAATGCTACTTCAATCAGGTGTTTGGACACAATTTTTACTTATCACACTCACACTATTAATCTAGTGTCATACTTATTGTCTAAAAAGTCTTAATTACACACAAAACAGAAACAATAAAAATTCCACTACAAATAAATAATATTATATTCAAAACATACTTATACTTACTTCGTAATATTGGTTTTCAACATCATCAACCAGAAATGTAACACGTACTCGTTTCATGTATTCACGCCAGTAGCGTCTTAATTCGGTACGAGCCTCAGTTAACCTAATGAGTATACGATCAAAAGTAATTATATGAAAGACATAATCGACTGGTAAGTCATATGCATCACTTGTATTAGCCCATGTCCCCGTTTTCGATGGAATATCACATTTTATTGTAGTGTCTTCTTCTCGTATAGTTGTACATGACTGATTTGAATTTTTCCTAAGTAAATTTTCACGTATTTTCAAACCCTTTACTTCACAGTGTGAAACACGATGTAACCAATGATGACATTTTTTACGTAATTCGAGCATATTTTCACAACTATAAAATTGGTTTAAATGGCATGTTCTTGATTTTGGATTGCAATAATAATCCTGTCGTTGATTATAGTTTTGATTAATACACTGATTCATGATGTTTTTCAATTCGGTGTTTAAATGTTCAACTTCTTCAAAGTATTCTTCAATATCCTTTAATTTGAAGAATTGTAAAGATAACGAATAATTATTACACATTATTTATAATTACAAGAAGTAAATACAGGAACAAAATGATCAGACAGAAAAAATAATTCCGCTTCGAATAAAGAGATGTGAGAAGTAAGTAAGAAGCGAAAAAGATTGGGATAGTCGTATTAGATTAATAAGCAATAGCATTAAATCAAATCAAATAACAGATAACAAATCTGTCGCAAATATTACAAATCCATTCTGTTAAGCTTCAGATATAAATGAGATTAATTATACTCCGACAATACTCAGGATATATTTTAGTACTCAGTATTAGTTAAAATGATAACCATATAAAACAGACAGTCGAAAAAAATCAAAGAAATTAATGGCAAACAACAAGTGAATAATCTGCATATAAAATGAGGCCACTATTCTGTTACTTATTTGTTTTATTTTGTTCTTTTGTCTTACGATTAGACACACATAAAAGCAAACAAAATTAGTTTTAGGTTAGACTAGCCAATCATTGGTGATTTTACTCTTATTAATCATAAAATATCATTGGATTATTGCGAAAATTCATGAATAATTAAAAATATAAGCGTAAGACTCGCGTGTTTAAGTGTTATCCTTATTATTAAATGAGTGTGCAGTGAGGAAATATGATTATTTATCTAAGCCCATATACAGAAAACAGATTAGAAGAATAAATGGATAAGGTTTGGTTGATATATATATAATACCTACTTGTGAGAACTGAAGACAGAAATCTTTTCGAGTAGCATAATGCAAAATATGTTGTCGAACCTGGTGAGAAATGTACGGATAAATAAGTGTGATATTCGTGTAATAATTTTTCAATAGTATTGATTGGAAATGTCAAACAAAAGACAATGATATAAATTAGGCAGCTATGTTAAAACATAGTTAGAGGTTTCATTATTTCCAAACTAACTCCTTAAGACAGAATCCTGCACAACTCCCAGGTTTTGTACAAAATGGTTTTAACTAACGTCTTAGATTTCTGCAATTGATATTTTTAGAGTCGAGATAATATAGTAGAACTGCTTCTGTGTTATGTTAATTATTGGCTTTATATAGTACTCGTAGTTAGTATTAAGACGTCTCATAATGGCTAATGGAAAATTTATTCACAATTATTAGAGGTACAGACAATTACCAATAACCACTTTTCACCTGAAACACCAGAATTCGGATACCATGTTTAAAAATCTGTATAAAAACAACACTAAGTGAGGGTAAATATCATTACCTAATTCAACGTTCTGGACCAGCGAAAGAGTACAACGGGGTTCCGTTTTGCCATCCCTCCTTAAATGGAAAATATTTGGCATCCGTAGCTTAGATACAGTCACCACAATGATCTTTGTTACTGAGTGAGAATACCGGATTTTTTCGGTCTGGTGGAAAGAAACCTGAGCAATCCTGCACTGAAAGGTGTTTCACTAACAAATCATGACAATTAATGACTAAAAAAATATGAAAAAGATTTATTCAGAGAAGAAACTACTATGGAGAACAACTAGAAAGCGATCAAAGAAGCACTAGCTTCAACGCGTCAGAAGGCTCTGAGCCGCAAGAAGCATCATAAAAAACGGAACTCCATGGAAATCCTGAACAAGATCCAAGAAAGGATGAACAAGAAGTCAGCAATTAACAACAACCGAACAAGAACGGATTAAACCCAGGCAAAAACTGAATACATAGAAGCAAACTGTTATGGATGCAGAATAATGTGCCAATAATTATCATGTTAAGCCTAGTGATGTCCTTGGACGTTAAATGGACATTTCCTATTGGCCATTATTTATTTCATCCGTTAAATATTGTACAAATGTTGTTTTCTATTTTTATGGTACGATGTGGTATGTTTGGTTAGTATATAAATAGAGTATGTCTGAAATACAATGATTCATATCTCCGAGGTTGTGACTTGTGTTCTGGACTCAACTGACTGGGCTAGACAGGGAAGCGGGACCAATCGAGACTCTAGGCCGTCCGTACGTGTTTACGTGTCATTGAATTGATCGATAAATACGCTGCTCTCTAATTTTTCCAGTCAAGGACACAACAATTAGCACAGGGTAAAAATCGACCCAACATAAAGTCATAACACAAACAAAAGAGTGAAGAGGGGCATTAGAGCTGACAAGTAAAAATACATGGAAGAGCTAGCAACGACAGCAGAAAAAGCTGCAAGAGAAGGAAATATGAGACAGCTATATGACGCAACGAACAGACTAGCAGGGAAATATAGTAAACCATAGAGACCAGTCAACGACAAAGAAGGCAAGCCAATCATTGAGATTCGAGGACAGAAGAACAGATGTGTGGAACACTTTCAGAAGCCCTTAAATAGAACAGCTCTGTTGGATCCACCAGAAATCGAAGCAGCATCTACAGACCATCCTATAACTGTCACTCCACAAACGATCAAAGAAATCAACACGGCCATCCGACAAATCAAGTGGAAAAGCAGCTAGACCTGACAATATACCAAATGAAGCACTGAAGTCACACATAGAAGTAACTGAAAACATGTTTCGCACTCTATTCAGGAAGACTTGGGAGGAGGAGCAAGTGCCACCGACAGACTGGAAAGAAGAATATCCCATCAAGATACCAAAGAAAGATCTTAGCAAGTGTGATAATCACACAACTATCAATATCGGGAAGGGTTTTCAACAGTGTTGTTGAACTGGATGAAAGATTCAGTAGACGTCCAACTCCAAGACCAACAGGCTGTCGTGTACTAACCAAATCGCGACACTGCTTATCATCGTTGAACAATCAATTGAGTGGTACTCGTCACTATACGTCGAATTCCTTGACTATGAGAAAGCATATGACAGTGTGGATAGGAAAACTTTATGGAACCTTCTTCCACACTATGATTTACCTGAGGAGATCGTCACCATCATACGGAATTCATACGACGGATTACACTGCAAAGTTGTGCATGGAGGACAGCTGACAAACTCATTCCAAGTCAGTCAGTCAGTCAGTAACAACGTAGAACTTCGTACGTACGTACATCAGTTCGAGTTGCCACACCACATTAGCACAGAGATGCAGTGGTCGATTCAAATCCCGTAGTGGTAAAGGTAATAAGAGTATAAGCAGTAATCGGGAAGATTAGTGTTTGGAGATGTTACTTAAAGAGTATAATACAGTGAAATAAATTTGGGAAGAGAAAATAAAGGACAAGGAGAAATAAGGAGATCAGAATTTGGAAGAACACAAAGAGTGTATGCACCTGCGCCATTGCAAACGATTTTGAGCCATGTCATTCAGGGTCTCTAACCATCGGTTGCTATCATCTCGCAGATCTCAACCAGGTAGTCTACACCTACCAACATGGCTCAGTCTACTTGTCAGTGACTTCATGGACTAGTGCCATGTTTTGGTCTGGCCGCCCCTAGCTTTCTTCCAACCTATTCCTATACCACTGAACATCGCACGTCGAGGCAGTCGGTCGTTGGGCATACGTAACACGTGTCCCAGCCATCTCAACTGATGAAGTTTCACTACTTCATCAATTGATTTGCCATCCTTACCTAGTACCCGTTTCTTAACAACTGCATTACTTACTCAGTGGTCCCAGGATATACGAGCAATGTTTCGAAGACACCTATGATCGAGTACTAGTAACCTACGAATATCCTCTACTCTTACCGGCCATGTTTCACTGCCATAAAGTAGGACGGAACGAACTGCTGCACAGTAAACTCGTCGTTTGGTTGGTAGACGAATATCTCGCCTACGCCATAAATGACGCAAGTTGGCAAAAGCTAGTCGAGCCTTCTGTATCCGTGCTGAGATTTCGTCATACACTAGACCACAAGGGCTGATGAGACTTCCGAGATAGGTGAAGCGATCGACACGCTCAATTACTTCACTCCCTACCATTAGTTCGGGTGTCAATCCAATCCAATCCTGGAGCAACATTTTGCGTTTCGAGGGAGAGAATCACATCCCGAACATGCTTGCATTGTTGCTTAGAGTGGTCAGAAAACTCTTCATTTTGTCAGCGTCTTCACCAAATAAAACTGTCATCTGCATATTCTAAGTCAACAAGTGAACCTCCTGGTAGAAGTTCAACCCCTGGAAATCTAGACGAGGAAAGTGTTATCTCTAAAAGTACGTCGACCACAAAGTTGAACAAGAATGGAGAGAGTGGGCAGCCCTGAAGAAAACACCACTTGAGGTAATCAATTCTGATGACAGTTCTCCATAAGCTCTCACTCGACCAGTTGTGTTCGAGTAGAGAGCCTTTACAAGGTTAATGTACTTCTTTGGTACTCCTTTCAGTGACAAACACTGCCATAGAACCTTACGATCAACAGAATCGAATGCCGCCTTAAGGTCGAGAAATACTACCATTGTGGAGCGTCTGAATGTGTGTCTGTGTTCTAGAACCTGACGTAGTGTGAATATCTGATCTATACAACGACGTCCAGGTCGAAAACCAGCCTGATTTTCTCTAGTCTGCTCTTCACGAGCTTTGGTTAGGCTACTCATTCTAAGTGAGGACCAGTGTCAGATATAGCTAATTACTTTCACTCTTTCTCTTTCTTCTGGTGGTTGCCTGGATTGTGAAGATCTTTATGTCTCAAGGAAAACACGGAATGAAATGGACAGGTTGGATGCAACTTGAGGATTTGGACTTTGCAAATGACCTGGCCCTTCTATCCCATACACAAGAGAAAAACCAAGATCCTCAAATACAACAAGAACACCAGCCCAATCACTGCAAAAGGTGTAAACTTTGATGCACCTGTGAGCAGCATCGATGAACGATGAAAATCTGGTGCAGACGTAAAGGCAAGGAATGACAAAGTGCAGCATTCATACAGTTGAAGAACATACGGAACTTAAAACAACTGTCAACCAACACCAAAGTCAGAATCTTCAATACGAACGTTAAGACAATCCTACTGTAAGGAGCTAAAACTTGAAGAACTACTGCAGTCATCACCAAAAAAGTATGAATATTTATAAACAATTGTCTACGCAAGATACTGAATGTCCGCTGATTGGACACCATCAGCAACAGTCTACAGTGAGAGAAAACAAATTAGCATCCAGCTGAAGAGGAAATTAGGAGACGTTGAAGGTTGATAGGGCACACACTGAGGAAAACACCAAACCGCATCACAAGGCAAGCTCCCAAATGCCCTGGCACGACCGAGTAGGGAGAGACCTATTTCCCTCTCAAAATGCTCTCACATGGCTATGTGCATACAACCACTGTCAGGGATGTCCTAATAACTATCTTCTCGCGACATTACTGTTCCTTACGAAACTGAGAGAACGAGAAGCGAATGTTCGGTGCTTTAACCGGATTGGTGGATATGGAGGACCCACCTAGGAAAGTTGGAAAACCCTGATTCTAAACAATGGAGCACATGGGCTCCAGGATCCGGAGGGAAGAAATGGAGTATGAACCTACTGTCGGTGACTGGCTACCATGTGACTGCTTCTCTTGACGTTGCTCCACTGTCTTGTGGATTTGACTTTTAGGTCGGAGGCTCTGGGTGTGGCTTTCTAGGAGAACCAACTGCTTCGATCTGGGCACCCAGGCAGTATAACAAGTCACACACAAATCAAGTGACTTGTGTTGCGCATGTATATCCGGTGCCCCTTTTGTACCAATATTTGTGTTCAAAGAAACAAATAATGCAAGGCAAGGGATAACTAGGAGTCGTGAGCGGGAACGTAAGCGGAAGGCCGAAGAACATTTCCCGCCGACAATTGGGAGTGGATATCGAAATAATGAATAACGACTGAAAACAACCCGAAAGGACTAACCAGGAAACGGTTCGATGGACAATGCTGGTGGGCTGCTTGTGCTCCTCCACAAGGGATAACAGGCAGAAGTAAATATAACACGAAAGAGCCACTATGAATCTTGATACAAAGCCAAATATGGACCGAAATTTATTACAAAATACTTCAATGAAAAAGGCACTAATAATGAATCCACGTATTTAGAAGAACTTACTATCCTGTTAGTAAGCCAGTCTTCAATGTCGAAATTAAGTTCACCGCCCAAGTCACTTGTCAAATGTTGTTGATCTATGAAAGGAAGCAATTCTTCAGTTTTGTCGACGAAAATTAACGGAATTTTACAGCCATCACGAATTGAGTTTATTGTTTTCTCCAAGAAAAAACCTTGCATAAAACCTTGAGGTTTGATAATAAATATTTGATGTAAGTTTCCTGGGAACTTTTCCTAAATATTTCAGTGAGGAAAACTCAGATAATTACTAACATTTAGCCTGGTAACAATCGACTTGACAACTGTCCAATTACCAGTACGCCTATCAATAACGACAGTAAACTCTTGAACACTTGTTAGCATTCTGCTTTTTTGAGGGATAATTACGAGAAGCAACTTACGTTGATAATGAAGAAAAATACTGCATAAGGAAAATGTATGAATCATCACCTAATCCATCTAGACCGCGATCTTGGAAAATTATAAGGGAGCGGAATTCCTTATCATGGCCACCTATGATTAAAGAAAATACCAGGAATAACATGATCTTACCTGTGAATATAGCGTACCTCCTTAGGAGTACGTCCTTTATATCTTTAGCTAAAATCGGTGAATGTCGTTTGCTTGAAATCGAATGGTTGTCTATCATCTTTGGATTTTCCTTCAACTTAAATTACTTCAAGGTGCCACAAAATAATTTCTGTAAATTTACGAGAGAACGATAGAAAATCTAACATATTAAGTCAGCCTACTAGAAAGTCTAATTTAAGGTAAGAACAAAAAGTTGGAGGATATATCTAAGGATAAGTCCTTGAAAACTGTTAGAGCAACATCTGTCTAGGCATCCTAATAATAAAGTTTTAGAACGAGGAGTAGGAAGGGCAAAAATACGAGCTATTCTTTTTATTAACATCTTATTAGTAAACTCAAAAAGTCAATTATATATAGATCCCAAAAGCCAGTCACATAGTAAATTTATTTATTTCATAAACTTTCACGACCTAAGTGATAAAGTAAACAATTCCAACTGTAATTTGTGATAATTAAGTCATATTTGTGTGCTTTTTCTTACATATTATCATCAAACTATCTAACGAAAGAAGTTATTTTCAATAGTCTAGAATTAGAGTTACATACGCCTGTTCATGTATACAGACATACCATCTCTCTCCATAATTTAAAAACTCTTCTTGAGGTAACGACACATTTAAGGATACCGCCTCGAAACCTCAGAGTGCTAGAATTCAAAACATACAATATTTCTAAAAGCTCGTATTCACCGGATGATTTTTTTATTATTCACTTCTTGTTGTTTTGGTACGATTTTACGATTTTGGTAGCGTTCAATGCGTGGCAGTCTAGACACTCGAATTAACTGCTCTATTTAAAAGGACAGTGGTATTCTTTCTCGTTGAGTTAAATAACTGTTTTGATCGTAAATTACGTATCAAAACTACTGTTTACACTTTAATTGCATCTACCCCAGTTAAAGTGATATTGTATTGAGTTTTTCGATTTTGCTTCAGTGTATTTATTGCATCGAAGCATACTTGGTCGACTTTTACTTGGTTTATTTAGTTAAGGTTTGATAATCCTTCTACATATCCTGTTTTTTTCACCGTTCTAGTTGATTTTTAAGATGGCTAGGTCTACTCATAAATGTGGACAACCATACTGCTTATTTCCCGTGGATGAAGGGATGCAATGTGATAAGTGTAATAAGTGGTTCCATAAGATGTGCACCCGATTAAGCCCCACTGCATATAAAAGGTGTTCAAAGCTCAACTCTCATTGGCTTTGTAGTTTCTGTTGCTCGAGCAAAACACTGCTTATTCAGGAAGCAATTAGTCTCCTGGTGTTGGCTAATAAGAAGGTTGATGAGGGCTGTACTGATAACATTGGTACGGATAGCGAAGATTGCGTTAGTGTCGTAAGTGCTATCACGGCGCAAGCCAGACTTCTCCCTGTGCAACCCGCAGTTAAACGTTCTCCCCCGAAACGGTCAGTGAGTGACACGTCATTAGACGTTGGTGGCCATATTGCTAAAGCAGCAACCGTGACCCAGATAAAACAATTACTGTCCCGAGTTGTTCTAATGTAGACGTTTCGACTGATGGAAAATGGATGACGCGAAAACGCAGAAGAGTAGGAAATATAGCTAAAACTAATGACTGTTTACTTGGCAAGTCCTTGATGGACTCTCAGACCAATCCGCCAAAGTCCCATAGTAAAGCTTCGTCTGACATTGCTGTGAGTCATTCCCTTGACTCCCAGGACATTGTTAAAATAAAAACTAATCGTAAGATACCAGTAGTTAAAATACAGGATCTAACGTCACGGTCGAAAGCTGTGAACACAGTTTCAAAAGAAGCTAAACCCATCCCTAGTTTAATTATTTGGAATCTAGAGGAGTCGAAAGACAACGACCCTGCTAAAAGACACGCACATGACCTGCAGTTAGTGGAGTCTATGGTAAGAAATGTACTACCTGAAGAGGTTTCAGGGGTACATATTACAAAAGTAATACGACTTGGTATATGGGTTGGAGGCGAGACCCAACCAAGAAGGATCCTGAAGCTGGTTCTCGGGAGTTTCGAAGAAAGAGACATATTATTGAAAAGCGCACTAAAAACTCGTGCCTCAAATATCCGTATTCGACCAGATTGGCCGCTTGAGGATCGAATCAAATGGAAGAATGCTCTTACGGAGTAGAGGACTCGCAAATTACATGGCGAAAATAACCTTACCATTAAGGGTTTTCGGGTAGTCAGGTCTTGGAAGCCAATGCTTCCGAGGCCTGTATGGGTAGAACGATTGATTTCCAAAACACCTTAAGTGTGTGCTACACGAACGCTCGTAGTCTTAGAAATAAAACGTCCGAGCTAAGTCTGATGGCGCAGTAATTATGTCCCGATATAATCGTTGTTACAGAAACTTGGTTCACCGTTGATATAGACTGTTCTCCGTTCATTGCTGGCTATATCTGTATTAGAAGTGATAGAGTTTCAAGTCGCAAAGGGGGAGGTATAATATTATACGTTAGGGATCACTTTCGTATACAATCAACCATATCGGAGGCTCATATCAGTGGCACATGTGAGGTTGCATGTTGTAAGATTAAATCTAGAAATGGGTTAGTGTCTATAGGGGGAATATACCGTAGTCCGTTTTGTCTTGCTGACGACTTTATCCTAAGACACATCTGTTCTTGGAGTATGGCAGAATGTTGTCTCATCATTGGCTACTTCAACACACTGCATATCAACTGGATAGAGCTTACAGCTCCAGGTGGTAGTTTCGATGGAGACCTTTTATCAACCGTTATTCAGTGTGCACTTGTACAATGTATCACAAAACCGACACATTGATTTGCAACATGATCCGTCACTGCTGGACCTCGCCCTCACCCACTACTGTGAGGATGTCTTCGATATTCAGCACCTTCCCCCACTAGTGAACAGTGATCACGTTGTAATTCACTTTAAGGTTAGGACACATGGTATACAATTCCTATCTGCTCCACCCCGTCCCACTATCTGGCGAGCCAACATCCCGGCAATCAGAAACTGTGCGATCTTGACTGGTTGGTCGGTCGACACGGATGGATTGATCGAAGATGAATGGAATAAGTTTAAGGCTACATTCGAGTCCGTAAAGTTGCCGTTTATCCTATGGTCAGCACGCAAACTATCACATTGCCCTCCATGGATTAATAAGGAAACCCGGAAGCTGTTAAAGCGTAGGAAACATTTCTGGGACTTATTCTTGTTGACAGGTCATGCACCGTTGCTGTTACACGAAAACTCAGAATTACTAGCTGAATCAGATCGGGCAAAAGCTGAGACTTTTTCAGATTATTTTAGCGAAGTCTTCTCTACGTTTATTGTAACAAATACTTGTCCCACTCACACCGAGATATCAACCATTGAATCTGTACAGGTGACTGAGGAAACTGTCCTTCCGTTGATAACTAACCTCAAACCTGGTAAGATACCGGGCCCTGACGGGTTACATCCACGGTTGCTGTCATCTCTTGCGGACATTATTTCAAAACCGCTTGCGACACTCTTCAACATGTCCCTCTCACTCGCTCAACTCCCTAGAGATTGGGAGGACGCTATAGTTAGTCCTATATTCAAGGACGGTCAGCGACAAATAGTATCTAACTACCGGCCGGTCAGTCTAACTAGCATAATAGTTAAGTTACTCGAAAAGATAATTCGGGTTAGGTTGCTAAGCCACATAGATTTACACAATCTGTTAGCTCCTGAGCAACACGGATTTCGTAACAAGCGTTCATGCTTGACTAACTTGCTTATTGCGAGGGAGGACTGGACAGCAGCCCTAAATCACGGTCTGTCTGTCGACGTGATATTCATAGATTTTAGCAAAGCGTTTGACAAGGTTTCACACGTAGGTCTTATGCAGAAGCTCACGAGATTCGGAATAATAGGTACTGTACATGAGTGGATAGAAAATGTCTTATGTGACCGCAGACAGAGAGTTAGGGTCAATGGAACGCTATCCGACTGGAAGCCGGTCAGAAGTGGTGTACCCCAAGGCACCATCTTAGGCCCTCTGCTCTTTCTTCTCTACGTTAATGAGTTACCACTGTTACTTAGGTCGTCGACATTATTGTTTGCGGATGATGTAAAAATCTGGAGAACAATAAAAAGTGCGGCTGATCATGTGGATCTTCAAGCTGACTTAGACGATTTAGTTAGATGGGCTCGAGAGTGGGGCTTAGAAATCAATGCTAGGAAGAGTGTACTAATGCACGTCGGTCACGGTAATAGTTACCGTTACACTATTGAGGGTAAACCTCTTCCATGCGTTCAAGAGCATAAGGACTTAGGAGTAATATTAAGTCATGATTTAAAAACAACTGCGCATTGCAAAGCAGCCGCTGTGAGAGGTTTTCGTGCGTTATGGTCACTTCGCCGAGCGTTCAAATCTTTTGACGAGGAAACGTTTCGAATTTTATATCCCATATATGTTAGACCACATTTAGAGTACTGTATCCAAGCAGCTAACCCGTGTCTGGTAAAGGATACTAACTCCCTTGAGCGTGTCCAGTGTATGGGAACGAAATTAGTGAAGGGTCTTTCTAGACTCCCTTACGATGAGCGCTTAAAACGCCTAAATCTTTTCCCCTTGTCGTATCGTAGGACACGAAGTGACCTTATACTGGCATTTCGTATCTTTAATTATGATTTGGGTGTTAATATGTCTTATCTTTTTGCTCCCTCCAGCACTAATAATCTCCGAGGTCATAGCAAGAAGGTTCATAAACCACGATCTAATAAACTTAAAGTGGAATCCCGTTTTTCTCATCGAGTAGTCAATGATTGGAACGCCTTACCCGAACAAGTGGTATCAGCCCCATCAGTGAATACTTTCAAGGAAAAGCTGGACCTTCACTGGAAAGCAATGTGTCAGGATTAACACAGGTTCATCAACCTACTATCCTTATTACTGAAGACTGAAGACTGAAGCCAGTTTGGTAGTTATTTGTAGATTTGTAAATTTTGTAATTCAAGTAAGTTCTTTTGCCTCAGGGAAGTAGAGTTTCTGGATAGCGGCATCTATAACATTTATAATCAGGAGGTACGTTGCAATGTAACGAACAATAAGGTGATAATTCGAGTG